TATGGACCTGTCCACCGACTTGAAGTAATCATGTAGGAGGTCATTCGTTACCTCAAAACAGCACTGTATGACTTTCTGTACCGGATGCTTGGACTTCAGTTCCTGCTTGGGAAGGAGCACAGCTTTATGGTCTGATTCACCAAAATGTGGGCAGGGTATGGAGGGGTGGACATTTTTGATTGTGTAGCAAGTTCAGGGTGTTTGGACCTCTGGTGGAACAGGAGATGTGTTGATGGTATCTTGGTAGCATACTCTTGAGGTTGGCTTGAGCTTACTGCTGGTGATCAGATGAGATAAGTAAATTAAGTAACTGTTCCAATCTAGTTCTGTTGCTGCCAGAGAGCTCACTCAGCCAGGTCTCAGTAGTATAAATAAGGGAGGCTAGTCTGTAACTGGAACAGAGCGTAAACCTGAGAATTTGGTGATCGGAAGAGTGACTCATAAGGGTTAATCGCTTTTAATAAAATTTAGTATTGCTTGCAATCACTATTTAACCTAATTTTAACTGTTTAAAGTTTAACTTTTTTTCCTGGGCTTGTACAGGGCCAAACTGCTAGACAACAGATGAAATTTAGTTAAGAAAATGACTGGTTTAATTTAGTTCTATGACTGCTCGAGAGCTCACTAATCTCAGTAGTATAAATAAGGAAAGCTAAAGTATATTTGGAACTGAGTGTAAACCTGTGAGTGAGGCAAATAAGACAGTTTAGGAGGGAGGTGCTCCTTCATTTTCTAACTGTCAACCTTTAGGAGAGCAAGAGTTAAATGCTGCATAACTGGGCACAGAGAGGCAGTGGAGGTACAGCACTATTCAGATAAAATAAAAAGTGACCTCACTGGATAATAGGTAAGTGATGTGTATTTTGCTCATTTACCCTTTATCTTTTAAAACCCAGAATTTTTTTTTTTGGTAATTCCAAGGTTTCATTGATATCAGTAAAGCTTATGAATGGTTATAAATCTTATTGGGAGTTGTAGGTTTGTTTTTGAAAATAAATTAAGAAACACATAATAAAAAGGGCAGGACGGGTGATGTTTTGTAACTGCAGGTTGTGAGACCCTCCTGGATACCAGTGTAATGTAGGGCAAGTGGAAATTGTTCTGTGACTTGAGGAACTTCATCTCAGAGTTTGAGTTGGAAGCTGAACTGCAGATGCTGCAATGCAATGGGAATGGTGAATATTACTTAGACACTTTATTCTAGGCGTTTGTCACATGGATTTTCCACTTTGGTCAGTGGTAAGACTTGGGAGCCTGTGACTGAGGCAGGCTGGGGACCCAGGAGGTGGAGGAGTTGCCAATTGCCTTTGCAGTTGTCAAATAGGTATCAGTCTCGTTTGGATGAGATGAAGGATGCAGGGCAGATGAACTAACTGGAAACTTAGATGTAGGAGTGATTTGGGTAGAGATGATAAATGGTACCTGCAAGAAGTCACTTGCAGGAGTGGTGGATAGGTCCCCTGGGAATAAAAGAAGATTTAATGAAAGCTAGACAGAAAGGTATGGCAATAATCATGGGGGTTTTATCTAAATATAGACTGGAGATGTCCGATGGGCAAAGGTAGCCTAGAAAAGATGATCGTGAACATCTTTGGCATTGTCTCTATGAAAGGTAAATTTTGGAAAACAACTGGAGAGCAGGTTATACTAGACCTGATAACATGCACTGAAATAGGACTGATTAATTAATGATCTTACGGTGAAAATACCCTTAAATAGCAGAGATCATGTTATGATTATATTTTACATTTGGTTTGAGGAAGAGGAAGTGGGTCCAAGACTAGTATTTTAAATTTTTTGAATGGAATTATAATGACATGAAAGTAGAGCTAACTAAAGTGAACTGACGCTTCAGGTTAAAGGACAAGTCTGCAGTAATGCAGTGGCACACATTTTGAGCTGATATTTCAGAGTACATCACATAGATTCTTTCCAAGGGGCAGACTCACCATCTGTGTTTACCTTTTAAAACAAAAGCTTGATAGTATAAAACTTCAAGAAGAAGCATATAATTGTTCAAAGATGGGTGGTAGGCCAAAAGTTTGGATAGAATTTAAAAAATAGCAAAGATTGACTGAATGATTCATAGTGAGAGAAGAGCTAGAGTACAACAGAAAGCTAGCTAGAAATGTATAAAGATAGTAATAGTTTCTAACTATGTTTTAAAAAAGAGGGATCAACAAAATTAATGTTAGTCCTTCTTAAAGTGAGTCTGGAGAATGAATGGAAAATCAGAAGATGACAAATGAATTAAACAGATATTTTGCAAATGTCTTCACTGTAGAAGGTACAAATATTTTCCAGTACATTGATGTAAATCAGGAAATGGAAGGGAAGGAGGAAGTCAAGAAAATTACAATAACCAGCGAAGTGGCATTGAGCAAATTGTTGGAGCTGTGGACTGACAAATCCTTGGACCCTGATTGATTTCATCTTTGAGTTTTAAAATAAATGGCTAATGAGATTGTTGATGCATAATTTTTAATTTTTCAAGCTTTACTAAATTTGGAAGGTTCTGTTAGAATGAAAATAGCAAATGTAATCTCATTAGTGAAGGAGGGAGAAAGACAAAGCAAGAATCCACTGATTGACAAATGTTAAGCTGACCACTGGGAATATGTTAGAAATGAAAATCAAAGGCATGATAGCAAGGCACTTATGAAAATTCAAGGCAACACTATTCCAGATCTTTACTCTTTATCACCCTAAAGATGGACAAAGTGCTACAGATCATCAGGCTGGTCACTGCTTCTGTTTATGATGTCATCTTACCTGTTTTCTTAAAAACCTTAAACCATGGCTAACTCCTGATTTTTGGAGTTCTTTATAACTGTTATACATGAGGGAAGAGTGCCAAAATCCTGCAGAATGCCTGAGGTTATCAGTCTCCCAAAACCAAGCAGTGACTGAAAATTACCAACCAGCTACCAATATACCTGTTTATTAGTATGCTTCATGTTAATATAGCCCCTAATTCTGCAGTGGATCAAGCAGAAGTAGGTAATTTCTGAGTGTGGACCAAGCAGAATGTTAGCAAGGAAGAATTACTTGTTCAGATCCTTCAATTAACCACTTCAATTGAAAATGGCTTTGAAAGGAATCTGAACAGAGTTTATGTTGACCTCACTACAGCATTCAATATACAGAAGTTGCTGGAAAAGCTCAGCAGGTCTGGCAGCATCTGTGAGGAAAACATCAGAGTTAACGTTTCAGGAAGGAGCTTTTCCAGCAACTTCTGTTTTTGTCCCTGATTTGCAGCATCTGCAGTTCTTTTGGTTTTTGTACGGCATACAGTATAGTCTAGCACATTGGCTCATTTGCCAAAATATCAGCAGGTCTCCTTTCTTGGGTTACTGATGCCGTTGAACTGCCAATATGGGACAGGTGCAAATAGGTGACAAGTTTAGAACCTGCAGGAACAGACTAGTGGCCTATCCCTGGAACATGTATTACCCTCAGGCATGTTCAACCTGTACATCAACATCTATCCCCAGCCAAGAAAACAATGGTATTACGGACTTGTCTCACTATTGCAAGACTAGTGCCCAGACCAGGCATGGGTGAAACTGTCTCTAGCACATTCCACCTTCACAAGGCTAGTGTTAAGAAGGAACTGAATATCACTATGGATGATCAGAGACTAAAGCATTATCCTTACCCTGATTACCTCACAACAGTCTTTACAGAATCCACATGTGCGCACAGTACTTCATTAAGATTACAGAAAAAGTGAACCCGCAACAGGCTTCTCTGTAAACTGCCTAGTTCTTCTTGGGCATCGCAGGTCAAGACCCTCTGGAACTCTGCTGTTGCCCCAATGTGATACCACTCTGCAAACACCAAACTTACTGAAACGTGACTCAACAATGCACATCATCACAGAGACTAATCAACTGACAATCCTTACCTGTTCCCAGTCCTGAGCAACACTACACCACCAAATCTTACACTAAGATGTAACAGCAGAGATCCTTTGCGAAGAAAAAACATCCATCGGTAAACCCTGCTTCAACAATTTCTCATGGTGACAGTGGGCCCTTGAAAGTGTTTTAGGACTGGTTAAGGCCTCTGTCAAGCCACCCAACACACATGAGGTCACCAAGACAATCCAGTGTGCAGCTGAAACAATGATATAGTATTGAGGAGCACCCGTTGAAGATTGAAGGTGGGCTTAACTTTGTCTAAACTGATTGGTTCTGTAACAATGTGCATGCTAAATGATAACCACCCCAAGAACGAGAGCTGTAATCCAACAGAGGAAACAATCATCTGACTATTCAAGGCGCAAATTTTCTAAGAAGCTAGAGTGTATAGATCATTTACGTACCCACTTCATGAGATGGAAGTAATATCATAGTTGGATTTGGACATTGAATTAGTATGATAAAATTTCATTTGTAAGTGAAGTTCGAGGTATTCTGGAATGATATAGCAGTTCTGTAATGTAATGTTATATCTTTGTTTAACTTTTCAAGGGAGTGTTTATTGGGATGACGTGATGGCTCAGTGGTTAGCGCAGCTGCCTCACAATGCCAGAGACCCGGGTTGGATTTCAGCCTCTGGTGACTGTCTGTGTGGAGTTTGGACATTTTCTCTGTGTCTGCATGGGTTTCCTGTGGGTTCTGTGGTTTCCTCCTGCAGTCCAGAGATGTGTAGCTTCGGTGGATTGGCCATGCTAGATTGCCCATACTGTCCAGGGATGTGCAGGCTAGGCGGGTTAGCCATGGGAAATGCAGGGTTATAGGGATGGGATGGGTCTGGGTGGGCTGCTCTTCGGATGGGTGGGGTGAACTCGATGGGCTGAATAGTCTGCTTCCACATTGTAGGGATTCTATGAAAAATGGCTATTGTAATGAAGTATATGTATGTCATGATTGGCCACAGTCATTTAAAGCTTTTCAAATCAATACTTGTGAAATGTTTTAAATTTCAATTTTTCAGGACGTCCTAGTTTTCTGTTTCATGCAAAAGATTTTAAACATTTTCTCTGTTTTGTTTAGCTACTGAACTTGCTATAAGATTGATACTGAAGGTGCTTGTTAGTCCAATATTTGGATACGCAATGGCCAAAATCACCATGTTTTGCCTGTCCTATATTTTTAATGATGGTTTGACAGAGATAACTATGAGTTTGGCTATCACATACATCACATTCTTTGTTGGTAAGCATAGTATTTATTTCTGTTACCAATTTTGATATGGTCATGACTACCACATTTGATATTTGTTACTCTTTTTGTCTCTTATTTCTGTAGTTAATGTAGCCAGAGAACAGGAACTAATGTTAGGAGTAGCATGTTTATTTTGTCAGTTAGGTATCTGATACACACAAAAGCAAAATGGCTCAGGGAATCCAAATTGAGCAGAAAAAAATCTATACAGGTGAAGCATTTGTCCATGTGAGATCTGCTGTCAATCTCTAAAAGGATACACACTGAGACCCTAGGTTTTGATTGACAAAACTCAAAGGTATAGGAGTGTATGTTAAAGTATTGTTGGAATTTAATTTGATTTCATTGGGTAATCATGACATAGGACTGACCTTGTCTTGGCAGGACCATCTTATTTGGTTAAGTTTTAGTTTTTGCCATTATCTATTGCTGAGTGGGAAGAAGCTTAGCTTCTAAATACACATTTATGTTTCCAAGACTTGCTGTCAAGCCAGATTATCTGGTCAGTCATCCCGCATTATTATGAGCTGAATAGCCAAGATATCACTGGGTCTGCTGAAGAGAGTTTTGTTATTAATCATAAAATCTTGCTTCCTTTGATCCAGCATAACTTTTCCAGGAAGGGAGGGCAAATGCTCACTATTTGGTGAAAAGGTTACTGCTTATAGTTGATTTGAACCATTACTACAAGTTAATATAATAGTTATTAGCTTTGCAAGAACTTCGCAAACACCGCAGCCTTGTTCAAAATGTGTGACTGTATTGATGCTGAAATAACTCCACAGAGGCTGGTATCCCATCAGGACAGTTTGGTATCTAGTGAAGTTGTAGGCCGTTTCTTTAAGTCAATAAATGTGGAGCTGGAAGACTCAGCGGGCCAGACAACAGCCAAGGAGCAGGGAAGTCAACGTTTCGGGCTGAAACCCTTTGGCAGGACTGGGGAGGGGGAGGAGGCCAGAAGTAAATAGAGGGAGGGGGATGGAGCTGGGGGAGGGTAGGTAGGATGGAGATGGGTGGATGCAGGTAGGGTGTTATTGTGGTTGGTTACTGGGAAGGGTGGAGCGGATAGGGAGTTGGAAGATGGATATGTTGGGGGTGGAGAGATTTTTAACCTTTCAAAATTTGACTGCTCTTTTTGCCAGACCATTGGATGCTAGATGGTATGGGGCTGCCACTATATTCAAATACATTCGATTTTAGGAAACACTCAAATTCCCTGCTTGTACACAATGGCCCTTTATCTGCAACCAGCACTTCAAAGAGTCTGTGTATTGCAAAAGATGCACACAGTTCTTCTATCATTGGCTCCTTGTTTGACAAATGTACTCCATGCACGTACAGCTACTTTAAGTGGACATCCACAGTGATGAAGAACATTGAGCCCATGAAAGGACCTGCATAGTCGATGTGTAGGGGTTTTACCTGGCCATTCCCGTGAATGTGGGGGAGCTGCTGGTGGTAACTTTTGTCCTTGTTGGCACTCTGGACAACTCTGTCTTCATCCAGTCCAGGTCACCAGACATAACTTCTCACCACTGTCTTTATTTTGGAAATCCCTGGATTACTCTGGTGGAGTTCAGCCAGAATCGGCAGTAACCTTTGCTCGGGACAATCACTCTTGCTGCCCATTCTGCAAACTGGACTGGTTTGATGTTTCCTTCAGTTTCCAGCCTTCTGTATTCTGCCTCTACTTTTGCACATAAGGCAAATGGCACTGGGCAGGCATTCCAGAATTGTGGGCAAGGCTCTTTTGATATTCCTTAAACCTTCCTGAAAAGCTTCTGGGTATTTAATCAGGACATCACTCAGGCAGCCATTTTCTAATCAAAAAACATTGAACCAATCTAGGTGAATCTTTCTCAGGCAATTTCACCCCATCAAGCTTGGGCCTTTCACTACAGTCAGTTGTAACTGAACCAGCTGCTGCTCATAGGCGGCCAGAGCAGAAATTGTACCTTTAATCTGTAAAGATTCCCTGGTTCTCAGTTTAGCCAAGATCTTGTGCAAACTTCAGGGTTAGAGTCTAGAGTGAATTTTGTTAAAGACTGGTTCTGTGGTCACCTGAAACAGTTGCGCTGTTAGAACTGGGTGACCATTTAACCAGACGTTTATTTCAATTGGTTCTGATTTAGATTTTGCTAAGAAATTTAACTGTTCCAAACCAGATATAGGTGGACTTTCCTGGGTGTATAGTCTCCTAGATACTGGGTTATGAGTTTTTTTGCTAAATTGAAGTCTAGTAGGACTCTTTTGCTGTCTCAAGCCCACATACTGCAGCAACTACAAGAGCTTACCAGCCTGATCCTGAAGAAAATTTTAACTGTTTGGCTGGGGCTTGGCGTTGTTTTGGAGTTTTGCTGTGGGCTGACCTGGAGACCCTCTGCTCAGGATATGTCATGAGTGAGGCAATGCAATTGCCTTTACTCAAGTGGTGTACCCCAAGCTCCCCAAGTACTTGGTTAATGGAATATATTGTGGGGATTTGTGAGATTGTGCACTTTGACAGGAAGAATAGAGGAGCTGAGTATTATTGAAGTGAAAAAAGACTGTAGAACAGATGGATTTGGGAGTCCTTGACCATGAATCACACAAAGCTAGCATCCAAGTTCATATAAAAATAGGGTGGTTTTGCTAAAACTGTAGAGGCAGTAGTTATATTCTGCGAACGATTTTGGGCCCCTTATCTAAAGAGAGAGATACTGGTATTCGTAGATCAGTTACATTTCGGGGAGAATACGGCCCAGTGGTATTATCACTGTTAATCCAGAGACCCAGGTAATGTTCTGGGGACCTGGGTTCAAATCCTGTCATGGCAGGTGGTAGAATTTGAATTCAATAAAAAGAATTGAGTGATGACCACAAATCCTGTCAATTATCTGAACAACACATCTGGTTCACTAACATCCTTTAGGGAAGCCATGATGTGGAGATACCAGTATTGGAATGGGATAGACGAAGTCAGGTGAAGGAGCAGCACTCCGAAAGCTTGTGATTTTAAATAAACCTGTTGGATCCTAACCTGGTGTCGTGTGACTTCTGACTTTATTCTTTGAGGAAGGAATCAGCTGTCCTTACCTGGTCTGACCAACATGCCACTCCAGTCCCACAGCAATATAGTTGACTCTTAACTGCCCCTCTGGGCAATTAGGGATGGGCATAAACGCTGGGCCAGCTACCGACACCCTCATCCTGTAAATGAATAATAATACAGTGCCACAAGTAACACCTATTTAATATGGAGTGTTGTACACACTGTTGTTTGCTGGTTCAAACTCTCTTCTCGCTTCCTGTCAAATTTGAACTCCTTTTCAGACTGCCAAAACCCTGAACAGCCTTGAGTGATCAGTTGAAACCCTTTCAGCAGGCCCTGCCCCTATTGCAGGCAGAATTATATGCAACTAATATTTTTGGTGGTCAAGTGTAGCATTCTTAGGATGCACTGTTTGGAAATGTTGTGGAGGCAGGTTCAATTAAGGCATTCAAGAGGGCATTAGATGACGATTTGACTAGAAATGGTAGGCTGGGATATGGGGAAATGACAGGAGATTGGCAGTAGGTAATAGAACTGGTGCAGGCAAAATTGGTTGAATGGCCTTCTGTGGCATAATAATTCTGTGAAGTTTGGAATAAATTTAGAGCATCTGAATATTTGCAGCAAATTGCACTCTGACCTGAGCACCCATTGGAATTTCATTTCTTGTAAGGTTGAACTTGTTTTGACAACACCGTGGATATCACAGTACAGTTCAGATTCCAGAGTCTGTTGCTAGTTTCAGTTTTATACAGAAGTTATTGTGCCAGCATTTATGGGTCTGTTTTGCAATTACTTAAAGAAGCAATTGTAGTTGAATTAGAGATATTTGGCTGATCTGTGTTATGATTTACTTCTCTCACATTTATGCCATATAATTTTATAATCAACATGTAAATTATAATTCGCTAAAGATATATTATGAACAGATGGCCCCTATGATTGTCTCAGTTATCTTGTGCTATTTAAATTAAACATTGAAAAACAGTTGTTCCATATCTGAAAATGAAAAAAAACCATTTGAACTGTTTGATTGCAGTGCCAATTTAATTTCAGGTGAATGGGTTGGGACGTCAGGTGTAATAGCTGTGACCTTTATGGGGCTATTTATGGATACAGTGAGTTTTAGCCCAGAGATTGAGGTATTTCTATTGCGGTGAGTGTTGATTTTTATTGTTATGCATATGAAGCATGATACTGAATGACATTGAGTGAAAAATTTAAAGTTTTGCAACATTGTTTTCAGTGTGATAGTTCAATTTTTCAGGCTTTTGGCATGATGATAAATGTCATTATTTGAGAGAGGTCAATTTCCCTACTACAGTCAAGCTTAACTAGTTGAATGACTCAGTGATAACTTATTGGATAGCATCTTGACCTATTTCCTCTATGACAAGATGTTTGAGTTTTATTCTCCCTGTCTAAAGAAAAGCACAAGCATCTAACCATAGGAAATAGAACTGAGTCAGAAATGGAATTCATTGGAAGGTGAAAATTTTGTCTTGACACAATTAGCAATGTGGAAAATGACCAGAAGAAATTTCAGGCTGATTTTCCTAGAGTAATCAAGAACCTCTGGCTTAATTGAAAGCACTTCAGAAGCTGATAATAGTGCACTGTTTGACAGCCATGGTTGATAATGAAAATAAATTGGTTGAATTGGCTGAATTGGATTTGGGAGTGACATGGTGGACAGTGGTTAGCACTGCTGTCTCACAATGCTAGGGACTTGGGTTTGATTCCAGCAAAAGGTGACTGTCTGTGGAGTTTGCATATTGTGTGTGTGTGTGTGTGTGTGTTCTGTTTTCATCCCATAGTGCAAAGATGTGCAGTTTAGGTGAATTGGCCATGCTAAATTGCTCCTGTAGTGTGCAGGGATGAGCATGCTATGTAGGTTAGCCTTTGTACATGCAGGCTTACGGGAGTGGGTCTGGGTAGAATGCTCTTTGGAATGTTGTAGACCCAGTGGACTGAATAGCTTCTATCTGCACTGTAGGGATTCTGTGATTCTAAGAATAAATTACAGAATTAGAAATATGATGTGAGAATTAGAAACGTGACATAAGGCAGCATTTGATCAAGTATGGCATCAAGGAGCCCTGGCAAAGCTGGAATTGGGGCAAAAACAATCTCTCCACATATTATGTGCACCTCTCAGGGATGCTACCACTGTTGCATGAGAGCTCCAGTTCCTTAGGGTTGTGTCCTAAGCTCAGGCAGTTTCAGATGCTTCATCTGTTTTCATATGCAGTGAGACATAGATAATACTCAGGCTTAAATGGTAAGTAACATTCACGCCACACAAGCACCAGAAATGAAATCTCCAACAAGAGAGAATCTAACCATTTGCACCTAAAATGTGATGATATTGCCATTGCTGAATACCTAACTGTTAAGATTCTGAGAGTTATCATTGACCAGAAGCTGAACTGGGCCAGCCATATAGATATTTGTTATCAATTGTGGACATTGCTGGCTAGTTCCATTGCTAGTTACTCTGAAGAAAGTGGTGATGCAGTGCCTTCTTGAACTACTGCAATCCTTCAGTGTAGAGACACCCATAGTGTTTTTGGGAAGAGAGTTCCAAGGTTTCAACCCACTTAATGTGAGGAACAGTGATCTACAAGACACATGTCATGAAATACTCTCCATTTGCGTAGATGAGTGCAACTCTGTCAACACTCAAGAAACTTGATACTATCCAGGACAAAGCAGTCTACTTGGTTGGCAACGCATCCACCGTCTTCAACATTCACTCCCTCCACCACTGCCACATTGTCAAGGTGCTTTGCAGTAACTCACTCCGGCACCTTTTAAAGCATCTTCAAAGTCCACAGCCTTTTGCATCTAGAAGGAAAAGAACATCAGAGGCATGGAAGAACCATCACCTCTAAGTGTCTGTTTAAGCAAAACACTATCCTAATTTGGAACTGTATTGCTATTTCTTTACCGTGTTACTGAGATAAAATCTTGGAACTTCCTTCCTAATAGCACTGTGGATGCACTCATCCACCATGGACTACAGAAACTCTAAAGATCATTAAAAAAAGTTCCTCCCAGTTTCACTTGAGGTCTGCTGATGCGGTGGCATTTCTGAAGTGGACTGTAGCTCACAGCCACTGGGGCTGTTGGGTTTTGTTTGTGTTGAATGGCAGAGGGTGATTGCAGCTGTAGTCCACTGAGTTTACTGGACCCTGTATTGTTGTGCTAGCTGTTGACATGCACTGCACTTGTTGACCTAGGAAGAAATGGGTGATGCACACACAACTGGGAGAGGTGACTCTATTGTGCAAGATGACATTCTGACAGTGATGCGTTTGGGATAGGTGTCATCATCTGTTGCATTGGGAGGGGTGCTGAGAGATGGCAGGGATTAGCAGTAGTTCTGATGCCTGGTGGGTTGAATCTCCATTATGCAAACCTCAAGGAGGCATTATGCCATGAGGCAAGGCTGCAAGTCAGCGTGCTGGTGACTAGGAATGGGTTCCATTCTGAGATAAGGAAACGTTGTGCCAAAATGGTGCCAATCAGATCAGGTACTACAATAACCAATATTAAAACTAATCTTGCAGCATTCAGCAAGATTTCAGACCTCAATAACTTAATGATTTTCAAACAAAACAACATTAATGTAAAATGCTGTCTCCTTGCATATTAAGTAGTATGTACACATTATTTCAAGAATTTAATACTTCATATCCAATGAGGATTGGTACCTTTTATTTGTGCTGTTTAATTCCACTGATTTAGTACAAATGAAATGATGAGTCTAATATCCACTTGTGCAGGTTTTTTCTGCCAAAACCTTTAAGTTGAGGTCCTTTAAAGGAGATTCAGCACATGTAAAGATTATCTAAACAAAATTGAAATCTACAGCCATAGTTTGGCATTTGGCAATGTGGGTCAATATTTTTCATGGTCCAGTGATTGGTTACAAAAAATTCCACAACAGTGATGCCAAATTTAACACCATCTGACGAACCATGTCAGACATTGAACACAGGAGTATAACATTCAATCTGTCCACCATTAAATGAAATCAGGCAGATCATCTACCTTGATGGTACTTTGCAGTATTATCCCTATAATCTCTCAAGGTTATTGCCCAGAGATGTTTTGATTTTTGTCTTGAGTATTGCTCAATGTTTAAGCTTCCATAGTCTTCTGGGGGAGAGATTTCTAAAGTCACCACCCTCTGAATGAAGAAATTCTTTATCTCTGTCTACTGCCCTTTCCTTTTCCTTTGCTTTAGGCTCACCAGCTAGGGGAACATCATACCTGCATTCACCCTTTATGCCCTTTTGGAATTTTGTAAGCTTCAATGGGATCACCTCTTATTCTTTGAAACTGTAGAGAATATGGGCCCAGACAACAAGGTGCAGGGCTGGATGAACACAGCAGGCCAAGCAGCATCATAGGAGCAGAGAGGAGCCTCTCTGCTCCTATGATGCTGCTTGGCCTGCTGTGTTCATCCAGCAAGCCTCTCTGCTCCTATGATGCTGCTTGGCCTGCTGTGTTCATCCAGCCCTGCACCTTGTTGTCTCAGATTCTCCAGCATCTGCAGTTCCTACTATCTCAGAATATGGGCCCAGTTGCCTCAATCTCTTTCAATTTGAAAATTCCATATCCCAGTGATTATTCTGGTGAAACTTTGTTGCTCTTCCTGTGTGGCGTGTATATCATTCCTTTGGTAGGTAGATGAAAGTTGTGCAGTCTCACGAAGACTCTAAAATTTCACCAAGATGTATTTACTCTTGTACTATTTGCTTTTTGCATCTATATGTTATCTTTTAAGTGACTCATGATAAAACCAAAATTTCCTAACCTGTCACCATGTAAGAAATACAGCGAGCTGAATTTTACAAGAAATTTTGGTGAGTTTAAAGGAGAATGTCTATCCATGAGCACCAAGTGGATTTTGTCACACTATCTTGCACAATTTGCCTCATTACTTATCATCATACATCTAATGCAGTCAGTGTGCACTATCTTCAACTTAAAACTTAACCATACTCTAGGTCAAGCCTTGTCACACATGAGCTGCCATTCACAGTACACATAGTGGGAGGTGAATGAAAAATAAATGCTTCTGAAGGCACTTAAGTAGCACATTGATACTTGCAAATGTAAGTTCACATTTGTAAATGTATTGCAAATTTACATCTTCACCTGTCCGATCGATAATTGTAACAGTAGCTATAACAGTTAAGCTACACAGGTTACTCATCCTTAGTGCCATTCCAACTTGAAACCCTGTTTAATGGAGTGCTGTTCTTTCCCTAATGCCCAGCGAAGCATATATCTCTTCATTGTTCAAAATGGGAGCATCACGTATTGTAAAACCTTCACATGGTTGAAAACATTCATTTTTATTCAACAGTAGCAAAAGCAGAGAAAAAAATGAAAAGCTGTGATGTTGCTTCTGGAAAATGTACAGGGACCGCTTGCTTTTCGATCAACAATCTGTTGATTAGTTTACAACCTGTGATCACTGCACCCAGCTCACATCTGTTAGAATTGCAGTTAAGTCCTGTCTGGTTTGTTGCGTCTGATGCTGCATCATTCTATTATGTTCCTCCTGCTCAGTGTCCACATTGTCCTCCTTGGAAGACTGATGCTGCTGTTCCTGCTCTTCAGTGTCCATCACATCCCCTCTTAGCCACTCTTTGTGCAGAGTAGAACATGCTAAGATTATGTTGGGCACCTTGTCTGATGTGTGCTGCAAAGGTCACCCAGACTGATTCAGACATCTGAACCTCATCCACAGCAGGCTTATCCTCTACTCCATGATGGCCCTGGTCAAAGAATGGATAGCATTTTATCTACACTTGGTCTCAGTCAGAGGTTATATAATGGAGTCATCAGACATGGTTACAAAGGATAACCTTTCTCTGTCCAAAATCATCAGACTCCTGAAATGAAACAGGAACATGTGAGTTCTTGAGGATGTAGGTATCATGGCGCAGACTTCTAAAGATCTGGCACTAATGATCACAGGTGACTTGCACATCGATGGCATGGCATTGTTTTCTGTTGATGAATTCATGGGATACTCAAAGCAATGTGTGTGCAGTCTATAGGATCTTGCAAATGGGATAAGCCAGCTACGTTGGTCAAGTGTACTACTTGGGCTACAACACTGAGCTCTATCTGGAGAAAGGAGATGAAGCAGTGAAATCTGGCACAAATTGCATCAGTAACAGCCTTGATATATTTGTGGGTGGAGGCTTGTGAGAGGCTATGCAGGCCCACAGTGGATCATTGGAAATAGTTGAGTAAAAATCCAGCACAATTGTCACCTTGATGTGCATCCACCCCTGTAGGTTGCAGATCTTGCTGTAGCAGTTGCATTGTTCTTAGTGTTCTTTTAATACTGAGGTGACACTGTGCCTTGCTTATCTGGAGGAACTGTCATCAAGGATGATAGACTCTGCTTGCCTTGTACTTCCTACATAATTTGAGTGGACTTGCGGCTGTAAGATCTTAATGTGGAGGCTATTTGGTAGTTGTTGCTGGTCTTGGGCACATTGGCGTCTGACAGATCCTTTTGTAATGTGAACATTCAGCATTTGCGTCACTTTCAAATGACAATTTAGAATACTCCTCCATCTTGAGGAATATTGAGGACTCTAACAGGGTCTTTACATTGCCTTTACATTTACCTTTAACACAAAGTGACCTTTATTATGTTGAATGCAGCACGTAAATATCGTAAAGTAGGTCATTACAGGTGCTGCATGATTATGGTATGTTGCCATACAGCAACATGTCAACCCTCTTGATTGGTAACCATGACAATCTGCTTAGTTTTACATATGGGCTGTTGAGATTTTAAGCTCTGGTTCAGGATATAAAGTGCAAAAGGCAAGACAGAGATGTGGTGAGCTTCCGAGTGGGTGCAAAATGAGTGAGCGAGCATTAGGAGACTAAGCAAGGTACCCTGAGATGCATCCTCAACAAATACATGACATAGGAGCTTGTCCCTTTGTGCAAAATGTCATGGCAGCAGCAGTAGAATGAAAAGTGCTGATGTGCTACAAAGTATATCTTTAAAATGCAGAACTGTATTGTAAAAGGTTGGAAATGTGTCACGATTCAGTGAGGCTAGTACATATCCAATGCCAACCTTTGGATAGGGTGTGCAGACAGTTGCTGCCCATGGAGTGTGCCCTATGATGTCAGTGACTGTGTTGTCCACGGTGGAGGGTCAGAGGAGCAAGCAGCAGGCTGGAGTTGCCAAGAGCCCGCTCTGAATTTTGTGTTACCATCTAGTTTCTATCAGCCATGTTGGAGAATACAAAAATGAGTATCAGTGACGTGAGATTAGATCCTAATGGTTAGCAAATATATCCAGGTAGTCCCCTCACTGTTCTTGTCTCATTGTTCAAGACTCAGTTGCAGAATCATACTTCTTTTCTTGACGCTGTCAATCACATTTTTGCTGATCTAATCATATTTTCCAAACTGACTTGTAGTTGCCAATGCTGCTTAGGGATTTGGAAGAATCTGCCCTCTGATTTTGTGTTCTCTTAGGACTATCGCTTTTCACCTGTTCACATTATAGTCCAGCTGTCAGGTTCTTGCCTATTCATTTAGCCTGACCAAATCACCTTGAAGCCTCCTTGTGTTCTTTTTAACAAGTTACTTTTCCACCTCGTTTTGTGTCATCAAGGAATTTGGAAGTATTATATTTGGTCGCAACATCCAATTATTTTGTATAGATTGTGAACAGTGATTGGCCTAGCACTGATCCTTGCGGTATCCTTTAGGGACAGCTTGCCATCTGAGAATGACCCATTGAAACAATGGCTGAGATTTTTATGCAGAACTGGACACTATGGGGATCTTCCATATTTACGGATGGAACCTGAATCTGGAGGTTCTGCCCCCATTTCTGACAGGCCCTATCTTCTTTGGGGTGGGATTTGAACAGGAGCAAAACGTGACTTTCACATTTGGGAACATAAACTCAGCAGTGCTGAGATAAAACAGACATCATTTTCACTGGACCAAAGACCTTATCCCACACTGTGGGAGCTTTGAATCTTTAGAACAATTGAATGTGAGCTGTAAGAGTGAGTAAGGTCTGTAGTATTAAATTATTGAAATAGCTAGTGCTTTAAAAACTGATTTAAATAAAACTGCAGAAGAAGAGGAGACGAGTTCCCTAACGTTTGTCTGAAAATGTTTCCAGATTGTTAATGGTCTGTGTGCTGTACTGAGCTTGGCAATTGAGAGATACCATCTCTTATCAGCAGGTCTTTGCCCAATAATGCAGGTGCTCCACAGCTGGGCTTCAATCTCTTTAGACTATTAGAATCAATTCCCCACATTTTTCCAGCCCACTATAGACTGTTGCAATAACCTCCTGACCGTTACAGTTGAAATATTCAGCTTGGGCTTTCCACTTTGCACTTAAGTGCTGCACCATTTCCTAGCTCAGTGCTGCTTCTCAGTGCTGCCTCAGCAGCTGGAGCATTGCAAGTAGAAGATTGCTGATCATCAGTGGGGGAGACTGTGGGTGGCCTTGCAAGATAACCCAAACAACTGTAAGCTATGAGGCCCCTGGGTTTGGACTGCACAACCTCTATGGACTGTAGCAATTTGGGCTGGCAGGTTGAGATGCAGCAGCAGGTCCAATGGTGAAGTGAGGCATGAATGTTACCATCCTTAGAGATCCTGCACCAAGGTGCCACTGTCATTACCCCTGACAGTGTTTCTCAGATCTTGTAAACTTCTCGAGTACAGATTGCTGAATTGCTGTGAAAACCTGAAAGCTTCTTTGAAACTGGCATTTGCTGCTATATATGGCAGCAGTTTGAGCTTGTGGTACAAAGCTGGGCTTTTATGGGTCCAAGTATGGATCTTGTGACTTCAGTCTGAATTTCACTGCAGCATTTGGACATTGGGCGACTTCTGTCTGTGCTGTAATGGAAGCCATGGAGTGCAGAATTCAAAGAGTATGTTGGAAAGTAAAAATTCACAGTGTAGGGGTCACATTTTGGCATGGATAGAAGTTTGATTGGCTACCAGGAAGCAGAGTAGGTGTATATTGTTTGTTATGTTGAGAATGTGTATGGAGTCATATGCCACATGGATCGGTGCTGGGACCTTAACTGCTTACAATTTACATAAATGACTTAGACGAAGGGATGGAAAGTATGGTAGTCAACTTTGTTGACAATGCATAGGTAGGAAAGTAAATTGTGAATGAATGACTTATTGTCACGTATATCTAGAGAGATATAGTGAAAAGTGTTTTGTGAAGAGGAAACAAGGAGGTTACAAAAAATATATCGATTAAGTGAGTGGGCAAAAATGTGGCAAATGGAGTATATGTGGGAAAATGTGAACTTGTCCATTTTGGCAGGAAAAATGGAAAAGAAGCGTATTATCTAAATGGTGAGAGATTTCAGAGCTCCGAGAATGCAGAGGGATCTGGGTGTCCTCGTGCATGAATCGCAAAAGGTCAGTATGCAGGTACAGCAAGTAAATAGGAAAGCTAACAGAATCTTATTAATTATCACAAGAGGAATTAAATGCAAAAGTAGGGAGGTTATGCTTCAGTTATGCAGGGCACAGGGGTGACTGCATCTATGCACAGAATTGGTCACTTTTTAAGAAAGGATGTAAATGCCTTGGAGATCATGTAGGGAAGGTTTACTAGATTTAATACCTGGAATGGGCTGGTTAGCTTATGAGGAAAGGTGGGGCGGGAACGGCTTGCATGTGCTAGAGTTTAAAAGAGTAAGAGGTGACTTGACTGAAAACAGAAAATCTTGAGGGTAAAAAACATAAATTGCTGGAAAGGCTGAGCAGGTCTGGCAGCATCTGTGAAGAGAAATTAGAGTTAATGTTTCGGGTCGAATAATCCTTCCTCAGAACTCAGAGGATTGTTGGTAAAGTAGATGTGGATAATATGTTTCCTCAAATGCAAGAATCTAGAACTAGGGATCAGTTTAAAAGCCATGGTTGTGAGTCTTTGGAATTTTCTTCCTGAAAACATGATGGAAACAGAGACCTTAAGCATGGGAATGAAAAGTTATTATGGCTGTGTGGGACAGTAGATTTCAGGTTACGTTCAGATCATCCATGATATTATTGAATGAAGGAATGGGCTTGAGGGGCTGAATGGCCTGTGCTTGTTTCTGATTTGAGCTGGTCACCATTTCTATACAAAGCCCTATGACAGGTTGGAGCTGGACTCTTCCATGTTCTTTGAGCATGATACTGGGCTCATCATGCCCATCATCATTTCCTTGTGTGCCACCCCATTTTTTTCCTCATCTGAGTCCTCTGGCAGAGCTGGTTTGTGATTTTTCCCTCTGAGCACTTTATATATACAAATGCCATCTTTTTCTCCTGGTTTGCAGAAGCCTATCTGTGCCTGGTGACTCACCAAGGCGGGTCCTATGTCAAAATTACTGTTAAAAGTATGTGCAATGCTGGCATTTGAGCTGGTGACTGCGAGTGTCAGATCAAGTGATATTGCTTTTCCACCAAATATCTGTTGCCTACCATGCCTTTTCTTCATGGGACTGCACTGGCTGTCCAGTTGACAGCCCTTTTGTACCTGAAAAACCTCCATTTTGATGGGGAAGGTTGGGATGAGACAAAGTAGGAGGTCATTGTCACACCATCAGTTTGTACTTCATACTTGATAATGGGTCGAGGGCAAATTGAGGTTTGGGAAAATGCACCAGGCAGGTTACATGCCATGATCCTGATGTTTGTAAGAATCAACTATAGAAGGAATGTTATGAAAAGAATGGTAACTTGTACTCAGTACTTGTAAGTAACATTGTACATTAATTTGATTACTGTTTGCTTCAACAATGTGGTTCTAATGTGAAATATTTGAATTTCAAATATCCGACCTGTAGCTTCTGGGAAATGCTAACATATCTGGGTAATACTCTTATCTTCATGATCGTTGGAGTGGTGATATCGCAGAGGTCATTGGAATATATGTCTATCAGTGATGGATTTTTCATCATTGTGCTTTACTTTGGACTAAATATGATACGGTAAGTTTTCTTTTAGTATCACTAATTTGCATTATTAAATAGCTAATAGTGTTTTATGAGAATTAAAGGGCAACTATATGAATCAGTGAATGCTTGAATGTCTTCAATAATTAACTTATAAGCAAACTTAGTATGTTTTTTCAGTGCTTTCATGATGTGTTATCATTTCTATTTTTCCTCATTCATTTAGAAAGATTAATACATTACTTTTAATTTGAAGTATATTTGTTTGAGCATTTAATTTCAGTGTGACTTATTTTCTTCCAAACTTATCGCAGTCTGGTTTTTTCTCAGGCATCCTCCACACATTATTAGGTGGGCCACTGGAGGCTTGGGGAAAATCACACAAGGATAACCTATCTTTAAGATGTTATGATGCTTGGGATGTGACCAGTACGATCTGTCAATTCTTTTTTGCTGAACATTAAGAAACATAACTACAAAATAAACAAAATGATCATTACTCTCACTGCTGTACCCTGTGCTTTTATTTTTGTAAATTTTTTTGATCATTTACCCAGCATCATTTGATGCTCCCTGAGAATTAGACCTGGCACTGATTGGGCTTAATAGTACCAACTTTAAGGTGGTGACTGCCTACCTCAAGCCTTGATTTAGTACTATCTTGTGAACACTGAGTGACTTTCTGTGGAACATTATGTGTTGATTAAAGGATTTGAGTTATAACCTAGGTTGCAGTTAGGGTAGTACTGAGAGTGAAACAGTGTTGAAAATGTCATCCTTCAACAAACATGTTAAGTCAAGGCCTGACTTATTTGTTGAAGGATGACATTTAATTTGGTTCAGGTGGATATAGAAAATGCCATTAAAGTACTGGAACAAATTTATGGATTTTTTGGAAGCCTTATTTAACACTGTGATCATAAAATGACAGAAGTTACTGTGCAATTTGAGAGGGAGAAGATAGAATCAGAGGTAACGGTATTACAGCTGAATAAAGGCGACCACAGAGGTATGAGGGAGGAGCTGGGCAGAATTGACTGGAAGAGGAGCCTAGTAGGAAAGACAGTGGAACAGCAATGGCAGGAGTTTCTGGGAGTAATTCAGGAGACGCAGCAAAAATTCATCCCTAGGAAAAAGAAGCATGGTACAGGGAGGATGAGGCAACCATGGCTGACTAAGGAAGTCAGGGATAGCATAAAAGCAAAAGAGAAAGCATATAATTGGCGAAGGGCAGTGGGAAACCAGACGACTGGGAAGCTTACAAAGGCCAACGGAGGGCAACAGAAAAAGAAATAAGGAGGGAGAAGATTAAATATGAGGGTAAACTAGCCAGTAATATAAATGAAGACCGTAAGAGTTTCTTTAGATATATAAAAGGCAAAAGAGAGGCAAAAGTGGACATTGGACCACTGGAAAATGACGTTGGAGAGACAATAGTGGGGAACAAGGAAATGGCTGAGGAACTGAATAATTACTTCATGTCAGTCTTCACCATGGAAGAAAATTCAAGAGAGTCAGGGGCAGAGCTAAGTATGGCGGCCATCACCAAGGAAAAGGTGCTAGTAAAACTGATTGGCCTGAAGGTGGACAAATCACCTGGACCAGATAGACTACACCCCAGCGTTCTAAAGGAGACAGCTGAAGAGATGTTGGAAGCGTTAGTGGTGATCTTTCAGGAATCGCTAGAATCAGGGAGGGTCCCAGAGGACTGGAAAATCGCTAACCTGACACCCCTATTTAAAAAGGCAGTAAGGCAAAAGATGGAAAATCACAGGCCAATTAGCCTAACCTCGGTCGTGGGTAAGATTTTGGAGTCCATTGTAAAGGATGAGATTTCTGAATATTTGGAAATGTATAGTAAAATATGGCAAAGTCAGCATGGTTTCATCAAGGGGAGGTCATGCCTGACAAATCTGCTAGAATTCTTTGAGGAAATCACGAGCAGGGTAGACCAAGGAGAGCCAATGGATGTTATCTAACTGGACTTCAAGAAGGCCTTTGATAAGGTGCCACACAGGAGGCTGCTGAGTAAGATAACGTCCCATGGTGTTAGAGGCAAGGTGCTAGCATGGATAGAAGATTAGCTGCCTGGCAGAAAGCAGAGAGTGGGGATAAAAGGGTCTTTCTCAGGATGGCAGCTGGTGACAAGTGGTGTTCCGCAAGGGTCAGTGTTGGGACCACAACTTTTCACTTTTTACATTAATGGTCCAGATGAAGGAACTGTGAGCATTCTGGCTAAGTTTGCAGACGGTACAAAGATAGGTGGAGGGACAGGTAGTATTGAGGAGGTGGGGAGGCTGCAGAAGGATTTGGACAGGTTAGGAGAGTGGACAAAGAAGTGGCAGATGGACTACAACGTGGGAAGGTGTGAGATCATCCGCTTTGGTAAGAAGAATAAAAGCATGGACTATTTTCGAAATATCCAGAAAATTCAGAAATTTGAAGTGCATGGGGATTTGGGAGTTCTAGTCCAGGATTCTCTCAAGGTAAACTTGCAGGTTGAGTCAGTAGTCAGGAAGGCAAATGTAATGTTGGTATTTATTTTGAGAGGACTTGAATATAAAAGCAGGGATGTGCTACTGAGGTTTTATAAGGCTCTGGTCAGGCCACATTTGGAGTATTGCGTGCAGTTTTGGGCCCCATATCTCAGGAAGGATGTAGTGGCCCTGGAGTGGGTTCAGAGGAGGTTCACGAGAATGGTCCCAGGAGTGGAAAGCTTAACATATGAGGAACGTTTGAGGACTCTGAGACTATACTCATTGGAGTTTAGAAGGATGAGGGGGGACCTAATTGAAACTTACAGAATACTGAATGGACTGGACAGAGTGGATGTTGTGAAGATGTTTTCATTTGTAGGAGAGACTAGGACCTGAGGGCACAGCCTTAGAGTAAAGGGAAGACCTTTTAGAACAGAGATAAGGAGAAACTTCTTCAGCCAAAGAATGGTGAATCTATGGAATTCACTCTCACAAAAGGCTGTGGAGGCCAGGTCATTCAGTATTTTTAAGACTGAGATAGATAGGTTCTTGATTATCAAGGGGACCAACGGTTATGGGGAGAAAGCAGAAGAATGGGGTTGAGGAACTTTTCAGCCATCACTGAATGGCGGAGCAGTCTCGATGGGCTGAATGGCCTAATTTCTGCTCCTATGTCTTATGGTCTTATGGTCTTATCCCTCATTCAACCATATCTCTTGAAAACAAATTTGGCAGAAGTACTTGGGAAAGTCAATTACAAGGTTAGATGGTAGGTAAGTATTGGCAGACATTTAACGAGATATTTCACAACTATCAGTAAAGTTGAGAAGAAAGGCTGTAGAAGAAGGAAGTGCCTGAAAGATGATTTGCACCTCATACCAGAGATTAGGGAGGCCAGGCCTTAGTGTCGTAAATGGAGTTCTCGTTCTGGTCAGATTAAGGAGTTTCACCGTTTAAGATCAGTTTTAAAAAAACAATCCAAACTTTCAGGCTGATGGTCGAAAAGAGGTTTCTCATGTCAAGAGATCAATTACTTGTACTGTGGCTTTCGACTTTTGGGCAGCTGTATGGGTTTCTGGCTGGTGTTAAAAAAAAAATTGGAACCAGGACTGTGCCTGATGGTCAGCAGTATCTTTCGATTAGAAGGCTACAGCAACCATCATGATAATGGTTTTGGTTGAAAAATGTGAATGAAAAAATGTTAAATGCAATCCCTGAAATTGTTTTATAGCTAATTTAGGGACTCAGGCAGGAGATTTTAAGGTTTTGTACAATATCATCAAAAAACTGTTAAACTTCTCAAAATTCTCTTTTGAATTTAAACTGGCATATGAATAGCATTCTATATTTTCATTTAGCCCTTGATTAGGTACAATTCTGATGCCGTGCAGTTGATGTACCAAAAACCTGAGAATTGTAGGCTTCATCAACATTAACATAAAGGAACTAACATAGGAGTGCTGTAAAACAGGACATCGCAAAACTCTGAGATTGCTCCTAGAATTTTTTTTTTATGGATCTCCATCCAAGTTTCATTCCAACATGATTAAAATCAAACAAAATGTGATCACAGTGCGAGCTAAATTTTGTTAGAGGAAGGGAAGGTTTCTTTTAGTGAGAGGTTGACAAAAGAAATCAATTGAAACCCCAGAGAAACAGGACGAAAGGCATTTACTGCATAGAAATGTTAATTCGACAAACTAAAGTGCTTCTGGAGATGTTTTCTGCTGGATTCCTGATAGGTAGAACACTGCATAGGCATGTGTAAAATTGGAGTTCCTTTAACCACCCATCCAGCTGCTATTTTGCATACCAACTGCGATGACTATCGATTACACCAAAAACACCAGGTCCGCTGGCACCATTTTGCAACACTAAGTAGCAGTGGCAATTAAAATAGCAGAAACAGTGTATGTGCAGATGGATCACTGGAAATATTTTTAATGGCAGTGCCATTGTTAGCAATGTTATCAAATGGCAAAACATGCTTGAGGGGCTGATTGTTTGTTCAGGACCGCCTCACTGACCCGAACTTTGTACATCATGGGACCTCATCCCACTCTGACTCGACAGGTCCAGGAAGATCAGATAAACCCTGGTGTTCTCTCGATGAGTCTTCTCTCCATGAACAACTCTGGCGCTATCCTGTAGTTTCATGAACAATAGTCCAATAATCAAATAGGACCCAGGCCCCAAGAAGACTTTCCACATCAAGCAGATGTTCACCTGCACATCTGCTAATGTGGTATACTGCATCCGTTGTGGCCTCCTGTACATCGGGGAAACCAAGCGGAGGCTTGGGGACCGCTTTGCAGAACACCTACGCTCGGTTCGCACTAAACAACTGCACCTCCCAGTCGCGAACCATTTCAACTCCCCCTCCCATTCCTCAGACGACATGTCCATCCTGGGCCTCCTGCAGTGCCACAACGATGCCACCCGAAGGTAGCAGGAACAGCAACTCATATTCCACTTGGGAACCCTGTAGCCCAATGGTATCAATGTGGACTTCATAAGCTTCAAAATCTCCCTTCCCCCTACTGCATCCCAAAACCACCCCGCCTCCCTAACCTGTCCTTCCTCCCACCTCAAGCCCCACCCCCATCTACCTACTAACCTCATCCCACCCCCTTGACCTGTCCGTCCTCCCTGGACTGACATATCTCCTCCCTACCTGCACTCACCTTTACTGGCTCCATCTCTGCCTCTTTGACCTGTCTGCCTCCTCTCCACCTATCTTCTCCTCTATCCACCTTCTATCCACCTCCCCCTGTCTCCCTATTTATTTCAGATCCCCCTTCCCCTCCCCCATTTCTGAAGAAGGGTCTAGGCCCGAAACGTCAGCCTTCCTGCTCCTCTGATGCTGCTTGGCCTGCTGTGTTCATCGAGCTCTACACCTTGTTATCTCAGATTCTCCAGCATCTGCAGTTCCTACTATCTTAGGAACCAGGACAGTTTGGTATTGCTGAAGTTGTAGGCTGTTTCTTTAAGCCTGCCTTCAAAGTTTGGATTGCTGTTTCCACTAGACTATTGGATGATGGATGGTATGGAGCTGTCCTCCTTTGCCAAAAACCATTTGACTTTAGGAAATACTTGAATTCCCTGCTGGTAAACGATGGCTAGTTACAAGTGACCAACACTTCTGGGAGTCCGTGTATCGCAAAAATTGCGTGCACTGTTTCTATTGGGTCCCTGTGTTTGAATAATCTCTATGCATGTCCAACCACTTTGATTGGACATTTAAAATGGCTAAGCGCACTGAGCCCATAAAAGGGCCAGCACAGTCGAGATGTAATGCAGTACAGAGTTTACCTGTACATTCCCATGAATGTGGGGAATCTGCTGGTGGTGATTTTTGTCCTTGTTGGTACTCTGGGCACTGCCCAGCCAATATGGTTATATCTGCATCCAATCCTGGCTTCCAGACATAATTTCTCTCCAATATCTTCATTTTAGACATCCCTGGATCACTCCGGGGGAGTTCAGCCACTATCTGGTGGCAACCTTTGCTTGGGACAGTCACTCTTGCTCCCCATAATAAAATGCTGTCCTCTACGGTGATCTGGTCTCGCTGGGTGTAGAAAGGTTTCAGTTTGGGTTGTGATCGCCATTTTGATTCCCCCATTACCACCGGCTGTTTTAGTTTTGCCAGGATCAAATATTCTTGCATCCACAGTCTGATATTGTCAGCAGTGTCCAAAAAATTTAAAACCAGTGGCAGCACCACCAGTGATGCATTTACCAGCAGGAGGCAGCTTAAGGCATCCTCATTTGCTCGTTGGCCAGCCGGACAGTGTTCCAACTTGTAATTTTATGTGCATAGAATGAGACCCCACTGCTGAATTCGACTTGAAGCTATGTGCGGCACAGCCTTGTTCTTTTTGAGTAGCACTAGCAGGGGTTTGTGGTCTGTTACTATGACAAATTTACGTACGTAAATGTATTGGAACTTTATTACACCAAATATGACTGTCAACCCTTCCTTCTTTATCTGGGTGTATTTGTGCTCTGCATCAGCCAAAGTCCAGGGAGCATTCGCTTACTTTCAATTGGTCCACCTGTGGGCATTTCTCTCCATTGGTCAATCTGTGAGCCAGCACCACCCCAATACTGTAAGGAGAGGCATCGCAATTCAGCACCAGATCTCGCTTGGGACCATAGTGTGCTGACATTTTAGACAATGATATCTAGTTCTTCACTTTCCTAAAGGCTACGACTTAGCTGCAAGACCATTTCCAAGGCTGACTCTTTTTCAATAGCAGATGTAAGGGTGCTAGGATGGAGGCCAGGCTACATGTGAACTTCCATAATAATTCACCAGTCCAAGGAAAGACCTAAACTCCAACAGAGATGTGGGAGCTGGGGCCTTCTATTGCCCTCAGTTTATCTTCCAATGTCTTGCCAACTGTGTAGCCCAAGTAGGTTACTTGGCTTGCCTACAACACACATTTTTCCCTTCTAAGGCGTATGTCTGCCTTGGAGAAACATATAAGGACTGTGTCCAAGTTCTCGAAGTGTTCTTTATTGTTCTTCCTTGTTATTAGCACATCATCCAGATAAATGGTGACCTGAGATAGACCTTGTGAAATGTTTTCCATCGTACGCTGAGGTTTGGCTTTATTTTTGGTGTTTTGCTGTGGGCTGGTGTAGGGTCCTTCTATTCGGAACATGTCCTGAGTGAGGTTATGCAGTTGCCTTCACTCAAGTGGTGTTCCCCAAGCTTAGTCGGCTTGGTGAGGGTGTTCACTTCCATTGGGATACCCTGGAACTCATAAGCTCCACTTGCTGCATTTTGTAACAAAGCCTGTTGTAGTTGCTCTTTAAAGTCCAGTTGGGCTTCAGCCAGTTGGTGCTTTTGCATAGTCACATCATTAATCTCACTCTCGTTGCCACTGAAATAACTCCACAAAGGCCAGTATCCCATTGCCAAGTCATCCTTTAGTTACACATGTAGAGTCCTTGATATTGATCCAGCTTCCTCAGAGCCAGCTCTCAGAGTGAACAGTGCCTCTGACACTTCTGGTTATATCTGTCAGCCAGGGCTCCCTGATTAGACCATGTTAACAGCTCCAGTCAGGGAAATCATATTTGATGAGATTCACCTGGCTGATCTCATTCCGATCATGACATCATGTGACCCATTTCATTCCTCCATTTTACATTAAATTTAAAACACAGACCCAAAACATAAATATGAAAATGAGGGGCAAGGGATGAAGCAAGTTCTGGAGTGCAAGTCTTTAGTACAATTGCTGGGATGTTGACTGGTCCTTTAGCCTTTGTAGTATCCAGTGCATCAATTTCTTTATCTCAGAGGGATGTCAGACTGAAGACCTGTATCTGTGATGCAGGGGACCTCTGGGCGAGGGCAAGGTGGATCATAAACCTGGTACTTCTGGCTGAACATTGTTATGAATGTTTCAGCCTTGTCTTTTACGCTGATGTTCTGGGCTCTGTCAGCATTGAAGATGGGAATATTTGTGGAGCTTCCTCCTCCAGTGAGTGGTTTGATTGTCAACCAGCATTTACGTGGGCAAGCTTAGCTCTCTCTATCACTTTATGCTTATGCTATCTGGCACACAGCTTCACCAGGTTGATACATAATTTTTAGATAAGCCTGGTGCTGTTCCTAACATGTCCTCCTGCACTCTCCATTGAACTAGGGTTAAATCCCTGACTTCATGGTAATGATTGAGTGGGAAATATGCTGGTCCATCCATGAGGTTGCAGATTGCGTTGCTGTACGATTCTGTAGTTGTTAATGGCCTCTGTGCCTCATCGATGCCCAGCTTTGAGTTACTACATCTGTTCAAAGCTTGTCTCATGTCACACGGTGATAATATCATACAACACAATGTAGCATGTTCTCAGTGTAAAGGCGGGACTTGGTGTCCACAAGGTCTGTGAGTGGTCACTCTTACTGATGCTATCATGGACAAATGCACAGGTGGAGTGCAGATTAGTGAGGATGAGGTCAATTATGTTCTTCCATCTTATTGGTTCCTTCACCACGGCACAACCTTCTTAGCAGCTTTATCTTTTAGGACCTCGCCAGCTTGGTCAGTGGTGTTGCCACCCATGGTACATTCTGCGACCTTGCCACCCTCAGTGTTTCCTCCAATTATCGTTCAACAGGGAGGAGCACAGTCATCAGACGAGGAAGGGCAGTGTATTATAATAGGTAGACGGTTCCCTTCCCTATGATACTGCTACCTGATGCCATGAGACTTCATGGTGTCCAGATCCAATGTTGAGGACTTGCAGGTCAACACCCCCCTGACGGTATACCACTGTACTGCCGCCTTTGCTGGGCCTGTCCTGCCATTGGGACAGGATATATCCAGGGATGGTGATGAAGATGTCTGGGACATTGTCTGAAAAGTATGATTCTGCGAATTTGAATTATACCAGGCTGTTGCTTGACTACTCTGTAAGACAGCTCTCCCAGTTCTGGCATTCACATCCAGATATTAGCAGAGTTGACAGGGCAGTTTTCGTCTTTGCTGTTTTTGGTGCCTCAATCAATGCAGGTGGTCCGTCAGGTTTCATTTCTTGGTTGAAACTTCCTAACAATTGTTAGAACTGAGTCTGAAATCACATATAGACCAAACCAGATAAAGATAGCCTATTTCTTTCCCGCGGAATCATACTTTACAGACAATGTCCCAGACATCTTCATCATCGTCCCTGGATGTATCCTGTCCTACTAGCAGGACAGGATTAGTGAACCAGATGGGTTTTCTGACAATCAACAGTGGTCTCATGGTCATCATTAGACTCTTAACTCCAGATATTGAATTCAAATTCCTCCATCTGCCACGGTGGGATTTGAACCAGGATCTCCAGAACATTACCTGAGTGTTTGGATTAATAAACTGGCGATTAGCTTAATGAAGCCATCTCCTTCCCCTAACCTCCTGAACCTAATGTATTTAGTTGAAATCCATGGAAAAGGGTCAGATGCTGGTTGTCCAACTGTTCACCATCCCCCCCCCCCCCCCAAATTTATCTGTACATTAGTTTGAATGGGAAATTATCATTATGGCAGAAAATAAAAATCTATTTTGCACCCAGTTTCTCCCCATGGACTGGTTATGTTAAATAGACTATCTGTTTTTGTAACTAACTCATATCTCCAATGAGTGATGCACATTGAACAACTTTATTATGTGTTTCTGTAGACTGGTGCTTATTGTTGGTTTATCACCACTACTGTCACGCTTGGGCTATGGTTTCAATTGGAGCTGGGCGGCTGTGTGCATCTGGAGTGGCACAAAAGGAGCTTTCACTTTGAGTTTGGCTCTGATGGCTTATCAGTTGGAAGGACTTGATGAAGTGAACGTCAGAAACAAGGTAAGGCATGCAGAAATCAAAAATACATGGTTTCTGACAGATTCAATATTATTCATATGACAAAAGGCTGTTCTGAAGTTCAGTATCTGTTTTAATGGCATTGGGCTGCAGTTTAGGAGTTCAGCAAAGTTTGTTTTAACTGGCACTCTCAATAAACTGGCAAAAGTGGATGGATGATCCATCTTGGCCTCTTCCAGTGGCCCCCAGCATTACAGATACCAGTTTTCAGCCATTTCGATTCACTCCCAATGTAATCAAGAAACCATTCAAGACACTGGATACTGCAAATGCTACGGGCCCTGACAACATTCTGGCAATAGTAGTGAAGACTTGTGCGCCGGAACTTGCTGCTCCCCTAGCCAAGCTACAACACCAGTTACAACACTGGTATCTACCCAACAATGTGGAAAATTGCCCAAATATGTCCTGTACATAAAAAAAAAGGACAAATCCAACCCGGCCAGTTATCGCCCCATCATTCTACTCTCGATCAACAGTAAAGGGATGGAAGGTGTCATCAATAGTGCTATCAAGCAGCACCTGCTCAGCAATAACCTACTCAGTGATGCCCAGTTTGGGTTCTGCCAGGGCCACTCAGCTCCTGACCTCATTACAGCCTTGGTCCAAACATGGACAAAAGAGCTGAATTCCAGAGGTAAGGTGAGAGTGACAACCCTTGACATCAAGGTTGCATTCGATTGAGTGTGGCATCAAGGAACCTTAGCAAAACTGGAATCAATGGGTATCAGGGGGCAGACTCTCTGTTGGTTGAAGTTATATATGGCACATAGGAAGATGATTGTGGTTGTTGGAGATCAGTCATCTCAGCTCCAGGATATCTCTGCAGGGATTCCTCAGGGTAGTGTCCTAGGCCAGCCATCTTCAGCTGCTTCATCAATGATCTTCCCTCCATGATAAGGTCAGAAGTGGGGATGGTCGGTGATGATTGCACAATGTTCAGCACCATTCGCGACTCTTCAGATACTGAAGCAGTCCATGTTCAAATGCAACAAGGTCTGGACAATATCCAGGCTTGGGCTGACAAGTGACAAGTCATATTTGCACCACACAAATGCCAAGCAATGACCATCATGAATAAGATACAATTTAACCACTACCCCTTGGCATTCAATGGTGTTACCATCACTAAATCCTCCACTATCAACATCCTAGAGGTTATCATTGACCAGAAACTCACCTGGACTCACCACATTAACACAATGGCTACAAGAGCAGGTCAGAAGCTAGGAATACTGCGGTGAGTAACTCGCCTCCTGACTCCTCAAAGCCTGTCTGCCATCTACAAATCTACAAGGCACACGTCAGGAATGTGATGCAATACTCCCCAGTTGCCTGGATGAGTGCAGCCCCAACAACATTCAAGAAGCCTGACATCATCCAGGACAAAGCAGCCCTCTTGATTGGTACTATATCAACATGCATCCATTCCCTCCACCACCAACGAACAGTAGCAGCAGTGTGTGCTATCTGCAAGATGCACTGCAGAAATTCACCAAAGATCCTCAGACAACATCTTTCAAATCCATGAACACTTTCATCTGGAAGGACAAGGGCAGCAGATATATAGGAACACCACCTGCAAATTCCCCTCCAAGCCTCTTACCATCCAGGCTTGGAAATACATTGCTGTTCCTTCACTGTCGCTGGATCAAAATCCTGGAATTCCCTCCCTGATGGCATTTGTGGGGCTTGACCCGCAGTAAGTGGACTGCAGTGGTTCAAGAGGCAGCTCACCATCACCTTCTCAAGGGCAACTAGGGATGGGCAATAAATGCTGTCAGCCAGCAACGCCCACAAATGAATTCAAAAAAACCTCAAATACCAGAAGTTTAATGTATAATGCAATCTCTGTGGTCTGAATAGTTAGTTGAGGGTGCGAGTGAGAAGGCTGTCTGCCAGTAAGTTTTCTTTATGCAAATTTGCATTATTATTTAAATGATTTTTTGCTGAAAATAAAATAAAAGTGAAGTATATCCCAGCATTATGTTTTGTTACTTCGTGTGTTTTTACATTGATTATGCGGAACTCTTGATGGACTGGAATTTTTGATCAATCAACACACTGCTGATCCCATAGGTACTGGTTAATGAAATGTTTGCTGTGCCAACGAACTTGTGTTGGTCCAGTGATAGAATATGGAGCAGTTATAAACCCTAGGTAGGTCTTCTGATACAAAGGATGGTGCCTGTGCCTCTGAATAATTTGATCACTGTGCTTCACATGAGCAGTTGGCAACTTAATATTCCTGGATACAAAGTCTTCAGGTAAGACAGGGAAGGAGGTAAAGAGGAGGAGGTGTCATAGTATTAAATATGGAATCAATAACAGCAGTAAGGAGGGATGATCTGTTAGAAGACTCTTCAAATTAAGCCATATAGGTAGAACTGTGAGATTACAAAGATTGTGATCAAATCGGTCAATGGGCCAATGAAATGTCAGATAGAGTTCAGTGCGAATAATGCAAGGTATTGCATTTTGATACAACAACAAGGGCAGGGCGTATACAATTAATGGTAGGATCTTGGGTAGTGTTGTAGAACAGAGGGTCCTTGGTGTTCAGCTGCATAATTCTTCGAACATATAGACAGGGTGGTTAAAAAGATGTTTGGCATACTTGCCTTCATTGCTCAGTCCTTTGAGTATCGGAATTGGGAAATCATTTTGAGGTTGCATAGGGCGTTGAACAGTACAGCACAGGAACAGGCCCTTTGGCCCAACAAGCTTGCACCGACATATTTTCCTCTTCCATACTAAAACTGTCCTCACTTAAAGAATCTGTATCCCTCTAGTCCCTTCCTATTGATGTATTCGTCCATGTGCTTCTTAAAGCTTCTTAAAGCTCCACCACCACCTCTGGCAGTGCCTTCCAGGCACTCACCACCCTTTGTGTGAAAAACTGGCCTTGCACATTTGTTATAAACCACCCCCCCGCCCCCCATGAAAATTGAACCTGTGTCCCCTAGTAATTTACCCCTCCAGCCTGGGAAAAAGCCTCATACTTTGCACTCTATCCATGCCATTCACAATCTTATAAACTTCTGTCAGGTCACCCCTCAACCTCTTGCTCTCCACTGAAAACAAGCCCTGTCTATACAACCTTTCTTCACAGCTAAAATTCTCCATACCAGGCAACAACCTGGTAAACCTTTTCTGTACCCTGTCCAAAGCATCCACATTCTTCTGGTAGTGTGGTGATGAGAACAGTATACAGTATTCCAAGTGTGGCCTAACTAAAGTTCTATAAAGCTGCAGCATAACTTGCCTACCCTTATACTCAATGCTCCTTTCAATGAGGGTAAGCACGCCATAAGTCTTTTTTACAACCTTATCTACCTGCACTGCCACCTTCAGTGATCTTACATACCCAGATCCCTCTGCATATCAATACTTCTAAGGGTTCTGCCATTCACTGTATAATTTCTACCTGTACTTGACCGTCAAAAATGCATCACCTCTCATTTTCCCAGATTAAACTCCTTCTGTCATTTTTCCTTCTGTCATGCCTTCAACTGATCTGTATCCTGCTGCATTCTCTGACAATTCTCCTCACTGTCCATCACTTCACCAATCTTTGTATCATCCGCAAACTTACTAATTAGACCAGCCATGTTTTCTTCCAAATCGTTTATGTAGACCACAAACAACTGAGGTCCCAGCACCGATCCCTGTGGAACACCACTAAACACAACTCTCTATTCCCCGATTTACCTGCCTTTTTAGACCCTGATTGACAGAAAACATGGATCAACTTCTGAACTTAACAAGAATAACAATTTATTTTTATAGACCCTAGCTATGGGTTAACAATTATAAACCGTCCGCATGTAACTTATTAGATGAACTCAATCCTGTAATAAATTCCTCCCTACCATATACACATGGACATGAAAAAAAAGGGTGTTATAGATGCAGGGAAAATTGGGAAAGCAGCTCACATGATCTGTTTAGATGCTTATTTTGCCAATCAAAACACTGCTTCTCGATCTTCCTCCTCTGGATGCTTCCACCAGTTTGCAGATTTAAAAAAGTCTTTCACCAATTAAAATTCATATTTTACAGCAGCTGCTGGAAGGAAAATAAGCTGGTTTTCTTCAGGCTAAAGTCAGTTTTGCCGCAGAGCACAGATACAACTTCTGGGCTGGTGGACATCTGATGACTACTTGCTAACCTCTTCACAGCCCCAAGATGTTAAACTACCTGTGAACCAGTGACATGTTTATTGGTTTACAGAACGCCTTCATCATCAGTAACTGCTCACGAGTCCATAGAGCAATCAGCTACTTGTTGCCAGCCAAAGATCCATTTGTACGCAACTCATCAGCTCCAGCTTGTCCGTAAATTACACTTCCAACCCGTGCTGGAACCAGCAACTGTTTAAATATTTTTAGTAAGTGTCAGGTTACTTGCTTTCAAAAGCATAGGAGCATAGAAACATAGAAAACAGGTGCTTCAACCTGAAATGTTGACTTTCCTGCTCCCCTGATGCGGTCTGACCTGCTGTGTTTTTCCAGCCTCATACTTGTAGACTCTGGCTTCCAGCATCTGCAGTCCTTTTTGTCTCTAGGCCAGCATGCCATTAGCTTTCCTCACTGCCTGCTACACCTGCATGCCAACCTTCAACGACAGTTCCACTATGACACCCAGGTCTCACTGCCTAAACTGACACCATTCAGATAATAATTTTCCTTCCTGTTTTTACAACCAAAGTGGATAACCTCATATTTATCCACATTATATTGTATTTGCCCACTCAGCCAGTTTGTCCAAGTCACCCAGCAGCTTCTTAACATTCTCCTTGCAGCACACACTGCCTCCCAGCTTATTGTCAGCTGCATGTTTGGAGATATTGCATTCAATTCTTTCGTCCAAATCATTAATATATATTGTGAACAGCTTGGGTCCCAGCATTAAACCCTGCGGCACCTCACTTGTCACTGCCTGCCGCTCTGAAAAGGATCCATTTATTCCAACTCTCTGCCTCCTGTCTGTTAACCAGTTCTCTATCCATGTCAATACATTACCTTCAATACCGTGAGCTTTAATTTTCCTTACTAATGTCTTGTGTGGAGCCTTGTCAAAAGCCTTTTGAAAGTCCAGATATACAACATCTGCTGATTCACCCTTGTCCACTCCACTAGTCACATCCTCAAAAATTTCCAGAAGATTTGTCAAGCATGATCTACTAATCTACTAGAAATCCTTAGTTTTAAAACAGTTATTTTCCCATTTCAGTCCACAATTAAAAGTGCAGAAAGGTTCTAGCCTTGATGATAGTGACGTCACAAGTTTCTTGCCAGTCAGTGCAAGTTGACAATGTGTAGGGGGAAGTATAGCTTCCCCATATAGCTAGTACGGTTCAGGATGACCAAGACTGGGAACTCTATATTCAAAGATATTCAATGTGCCTGAAAATAGGCAAAATGTAAAAGGAGATGAGCTAGCTTTGTTAATAGAGGAAAGTATCAGTGATATGGTGAGCAGTGTGATAGTTGCAATAGATTGTGATGTGGAATTAGTTTGGTAGGAAATAAGGAATAACAAAGGGACAAAGTCACTGGTGGAAGCCTTTTTTGTATCAGAATCACACAGTTGATATGGTGCAGACTCAAGCTGAATGGTTTTCTTCTGCTCTGTCTTTTGGTCTTATCTGAAGCATCTTCTGCAGAAGTACAGCAGCAGCCTTCTTCTGATGTAGTCACAAGGGAAGCACATTGTGGGAGCTCCAAGGAAGTGAAATTAAAACATTACAAAGGGTTGACGCTCAGTGTTTCTGTTAGCTATTCTGTAGCAATGTCTGTTTGTAGTGTATCATTTTGTGTTAATGCTTCAAAACATAATGTACGAGGGTCTGGAGGAACAAATCAGATTGTAGCTGTAGGGTTGGTAATAAGGCATATGGGACTATTAGTAAATTGGGGATGGATGGGATGTTTTAAGTGATGTGCTCTGTGACGAGCGGCTCTTTGAAAGCTTTATGAGCTTGGGATCATGGTGGTTAATCCTTTTCCTGCTCTTCCTCCATGATCTTATGCTTGGTCGGTTTACACTAAGTTTATTTAAGGGCTGTTCCCTCAGAATGACAAAGTTAACAAATATTGAATTTAACAATATTGAATTTGATTAACATAATTTAAATTTTCACAGATACTGCTGCATGTATCAGGGACAGTGGTACTTTCACTTCTAATCAATGGTACCACAATGGGATGGATCGTCAATACTCTGGGTAATCAAACATCTGTTGGCATTAATACTGTATAATAAGTATAACTTGTTAATCTACATAGCATACATAGCAAGGCAGCTTTGACGTACGAACCAGGAATAACCCAGTCCTGTTCTGTTCTGTTTTTGATGCTGTTACAATTTAAATAATTTTGATTAGTTTTAACATACTTTGTTTCTTTGTAGGTTTATTTTTCTTTTAAATTTTCACTTTGTGTAATGATTACAAAAGCTAAATGGAAGAATTGCTGAGTTTGTTATGCTGGAAAGCTAGATTCTAAACCAAGTGGCCCTGGGTCCCACTGTAGGGACATAAGCTCAGTGTTCATGCTGACATTTAATTGGAGGTAGCCTGGAGGAGTAGTTAAGAGATTGTGAGCGAGTAAAATTGTAGCAGAGGGCATTCATTACTGGGAAGTGAGGGTTCTTATACTTTGTGCCTAAGAAAGATAGAGCAGAATATGTTTTACATGGAGTTTAGTGGGAAAGGAGTGATTTAGAGATCCAAAGAGTATAGAAGCAGTAAAATTCTCTCATCTAATCTTTCAATCTTCAGGTATTAATATTCCTGTCATTTTGCTGAGGTATCTATTCAAAAAAAAATTCGTTCTAACAACTGCATGGGTGTCAGTCTTGACTCAATGTTAACATTTTGACCTCTGAATCAAAAAGCTCTGCGTTCAGGGTCCACTTCAGGGACGTGAGCTCAATGATCAGGATGATGTTTTATTGCAGGTAGACTGGAGGAAGAATTGAGAGATTATATGAGTGAACGAAAGTGTAGCAGAGGAATTTCATTGTTGGGGAAGTGTGAGTTCTTACACTTTGTACCTAAAGGTTAGATTGGTGAATAAAACTGTGGGAAAGGAAGTTGATTGTTAGGAAGATAAATTGAAGTATATTGGAGGGGTAAAGGAGGGGTTTAGAGAGCCATATGCAGACTCACTTAAAAACTAATAGATAAGTTCCTTAAAAAAAAGGAGTTAAAATACCTGTACACAGGTGCATCAAAAGAGAGCCTATAAGATCTTAAGATATAGGAGCAGAATTAGGCTCTCTGGCCCATTGAGTCTGCCAGTTGATCATTGCTAATATGTTTCTCAAACCCATTCTCCTTCCTCCTCCTCAACCCTTGGTCCCTTTACTAATCAAGAAGGAATCCATCTCTGTCTTAAATGCACTCAATGGCTTGGCCTTCACAGTCTTCTATGTCAGTGAGTTCCATAGATTCACGACCCTCTGGCTGAAAAACATTCCTCCTCATCTCATTTCTAAATTCAACTTTCCACTCTGTAGTTGTGCCCTCGGGTGATGGTCTCTCCTACTGATAGAAACATCTTCTCCATGTCCACTCTTTCTAGGGCTTTCAGTATTCGTTAATTTCATTGAGATTTCCCCTCATCCTTCTAAATTCCATCGAGTACAGACCCAGAGTCCTCAACTGCACCACATATGACAAGCCTTTTATCCCTGGGATTATATTTGTAAACCTCCTCTGGAACCCCTCCAATGCCAACACATCCTTCCTTAGATATGTGGCCAAAAGCTGTTCACATTTTTCCAAATGCGACCTGACCAGAAGCCTTATACAGCCTCAGCAGTACATCTCTGCTCTTGTACTCTACCCCTCTTGAAATTAATGATAACATTGCATTTGCCTTCCTAACCGACAACTGAACCTGCATATTAACCTAAACTAGGACTCTCAAGTCCACTTTTGCTTCAGATTTCTGAAGTCTTTCCAGTTTAGAAGATAGTCTATGTGTCTATTGTTCCTGCCAAAATGCATAACCCACATTGTATTCCATCTGCTACTAGAGTCTTAGCATGGAAATGGACCCATCAGTCCAACACGTCCATGTCGGCCAGATATCCTAAATTAATCTAGTCCCATTTGCCAGTATTGGACCCATTTCCCTCTCAACCTTCCTATTCATATACCCATTCAAATGCCTATTAAATGTTGTTATTGTACCAGCCTCCAACACCTCCTCTGGCAGCCCATTCCATACATGCACCACTCTCTGCGTGAAAACGTTGCCCCTTAGGTCGCTTTTAAATTTTTTCCCTCTCCTTAAACCTATCCGTCCAGTTTTGGACTCCCTATCCTGGGAAAAAAGACCTTGGCTGTTCACCCTATCCATACCCCTAATGATTTTATAATCTATAAGATCACCCCTCAGCCTCTGATGCTCCAGGGAAACTAGCCCTAGCCCATTCAGCCTCTCCCTATAGCTCAAACCCTCCAACCCTGCCAGCATCGTTATAAATCTTTTCTGAACCCTTTCAAGTTTCACAACACCCTTCTTGAGGCATGGAGTCACTCTCCTAGCCTGTCCAGGTCCTTCAGGTTGGCACAGTGGCTCAGTGTTGCCTTACAGTCCTAGGGGCCCAGGTTCGATTTCAGCTTTGGATAACTGTGCATCTCCTCCCTGTGTCTGCATGAGTATCCTTTGGGTACTGTAGTTTTCTTCCACAGTCCAAAATTTGTGCAGGCTAGGTGGATTGGTCATGCTAAATTGCCCCATAGTATCCAGGTTTGTGCAGGCTAGGTGGGTTAGCTATGGTAAATGCAGGGTTACAGTGATAGGCTGGGGTGCTGTTTGGAAGGTCAGTGCAGACTCAGTGGGTCAAATGCCTTTTCTTGCACTGTAGGAATTCTATAATTCTGAAGCCTCCCCGCTTCCTCAACATTATCTATTACTCCACCTATTCTGTGTCATTTGCAAACTTAGCAACAATGATCTCAGTTCCTTTGTCCAGTTTGTTAATGTATACCGTGAATAGTTGGGTCCCAACACTGACCAATGTGGAGCTCCACTAGTCACTGGCCGCATTCCTGAAAAAGATCCCTTTATCTTCACTCTCTGTCTTCAGCCAATCCTCTATCCATGCTGCTAACTCCATAGACTCTTATCTTATTTAGTAGCCTCCTGTGTGGCAGCTCATCAAAGGGCTTCTGAAAATCCAAAGGGAAGTTGGTGGTGAGTTGCCTTTTTGAACCACTGCAGTCTACATGCTGTAGGTTGATCTCCATTACCCTCAGGAAGGGAATTCCAGGATTTTGACCCAACAACAGTGAAGGAACGGTGATATCTTTCCATATCAGGATAGTGAGTGACTTGGAGGGAAGCTGGAAGATGCTATTGTTCACATGTATCTGCTGCCCTTGTCCTTCTAGATAGAAGTGGTTGTAGGTCTGGAAGATGCTAGCAAAGGATCTTTGGTGAATTTCTGCAGTGCTATCTATAAAGTCAGGTTAACCAATCTATAATTTCCTCTCTTCTGTCTCCCTCTCTTCTTAAACACGAGTGTTACATTAGCTATTTTCTAGTCTTCTGGGATCTTTTCTGACTCCAGTGATTCCTGAAAGATTACCACCAATCTTCGCTAGAACTGATTACTTTCACAATCTCCTCAACTATATCCTTTAGAACTGTGGGATGTAGTTCATCTTGTCCAGGTGGTTTATCCACTTCAGTCCTTTCAGCTTCTCCAACACCACCTCTTTGGTGGTGGCCACTACACTCATTTCTGCCCCCTGCCTCTCTTGAAGTTCTGGTATGCGATTGGTGTCTTCCACTGTGAAGATTGTTGCAAAGTACTTATTAACTTCCTCTGCTATTTCCCCATAACGGCTTCTCCAGTCTACTTTTCTAGTTGTCCAATTTCCATCCTTGCCTCTCTCTTTTATGTGTCTAAAAAGAGTCTCTGGCAACCTTCTTTTATGTTACCAGCTAGCTTACACTCTTATCTCATTGTCTCTCCCATTATTGCTTTTCTGGTTGTCCTCTGCTGGGTTTTAGAACCTTCCTAATCCTCTGGCTTCCCACTAATCTTCCACATTTTATACTTTAACTTCTGCTTTTATGCTGTCCCTGACTTTCCTTGACAACTGTGGTTTTAATATCCTCCCCTTAGTTTGTTTCTTCTTCCTTGGGATGAATTTCTGCTGTGCCTCCAGAATTACTCCCCAGAAACTTTTGCCATTGCTGCTCCAACATCTTCCCAGCCAGGCTCCCCTTCCAATCAACTGAGGCCAGCTCCTCCCTCATGTCTTTGTAGCTGTCTTTACTTAATTGTAATACTCCTCAATCTGATTCCAGCCTCTCCCTCTCAAACTGCAGGGTGAATTCTGCCATATTATAGACTCTTACCCCTCCCAGGGATTCCTTCACCTTAACTTCCTTAATCAAGTCTGCCTCATTATACATCACAAAATCCAGAATTTACGATTCCCTAGTGGATTCTACCACAAGCTGCTCCAAAAACCCGTATCAAAGACATTCCACAAGTTCCTTTTGTTGTGATCTGCTACCATCTTGATTTTCCTAGGCCATCTGCATATGGAAGTCCCCCATGATTATTTTAATTATGCCTTTCTTGCCTTTTCTATCTCATGATTTATTTTCTGCCCCTCATTCTGACTACTGCTAGGAGGTCTGTACATAATTCCCATCAGGGTCTTTTTTTAACCTTTGTGGTTCCTCAGCTAACAAGACAACACAACCCTCCTCCCACCTTTTCAGCTTTTCCATAATTTTCCATGCAACTGAATCCAGTGTTTGGTTTAAAGCCCTGTCCGCAGCCCTTGTTATGCAATTTGCCAGGACTCTGGTCCCAGCTGTACCATCAGAACAGCTCCCTCTTCGCTAGAACTGATGCCAGTGTCCCATGAATTCTCCAGCATCTGCAGTTCCTACTATCCCATAAATTCAAACCCATTTGTCCCACACTAGTCTTTGAGCCACGCGTTCACCTCTTTAATCTTGTTGGTCCTGTGCCAGTTAACTTGTGGCTCAGGTAGTACTGAGAGATTATTATGTTTTTGGTTCTGCTTCTTAATTTAGCCCCCTAGCTGCTCATATTCCCTCAGAAGAACCTCTTTCTTCTTTCTACCTGTATCTTTTGTACCAACTTGGAACTCCCCCTTCTTCTCTGTACACAGCTTACTATAGAGTCATAGAGTCCTGCAGCATGGAAACAGACCTTTCAGCCCAACCCATCCATGCCAGCCAGGTTTCCTAAATTGAACTAGTCCTATTTGCCTGCATTTGGCCCATATCCCTCTAAACCTTTTTTATCCATGTACGTGTCTAAATGTTTTTTAAATGTTGTAATTGTACTCGGCTCTACCGCTCCTTTGGCAGAGTTTCGTATAAGAACCACCCTCTGTGTGAAAAAGTTGCCCCTAAAATCCCTTTTAAATCTTTCCCATCTCACTTTGAACCTGTGCCCTCTAGTTTTGGACTCGTTCCTCCTGATTTTATAAATGTCTATAAGGTCACCCCTCAACCTCCTACGCTGCAGGGAAAATGGTCCCAGCCTATCTGGTCTCTCCTTATAACTCAAGTCTTCCAGTCTTGGTAACATCCTCGTAAATCTTTTTTGTATCCTTTTCTGCTTAATGACATCTTTCCTATAACAGAGTGATCAGAACTGTATGCAGTATGCCAAATGTGGTCTTACCAATGTCTTGTATAGCCGTAACATGACATCCCAACTCTTGTACTCGCTGACTGATGAAGGCAAGAATGCCAGATGACCTCTTCACTATTCTGTCTACCTGTGATGCCACTTTCCAGGAACGATATACCGTGCATTAAAGATGGCTGCAGAGTGAGACACTCCAGCCGGAGCTCCTCTGTTCTGCCCGTTCTTTTCCTTTTTTTTCTCTTTTTTCACACTTTCAGCTTTTATTTACCGGAGGCAAATGGTGGAGACTGAAGGGGGCTGCAGGAGTCCAGGCGAAATCCAGAGGCGAGGTCCAGGCCAGGCTACTGTGGGAGTGACAAGTCCAGTTGAGTCCTGGAGGTGAAGCCCAGGCCAGGCTGGTGTGGGAGGCATCGAGTCCAGGCAAGTCCCAGAAACAAGGCTCAGGCCAGGCCGTCATGAGAGGCAGCGAGTCCCAGGCCAGGCCAGTGTAGGGGTGACTAGTCCAGGTGAGTCCTAGAGGTGAGTGGAGTAGAAGCCAGCGCAGGGGTGGCGGCAAGTCCCCTGAGGACTGCAAGCGAGGCACCCAGAATTGATGCCCAGCATCTCTGATACACTTGGTGCGACGGTCTGTAAGTTGGCATGGACTGGGTTAAAAGACTAGAGTGTGAGTACTTTTTAAAAGAAAGCTTCTTCATCCTTTATTATGCTGAACTTTTATTTATGATTCTCTCAAGTCTGTAACAAATACTTAAGTATCTTGTATCTAGGTACCCTGTACCTAAGATGACACTGAGAGGTGACATTACAAACTTTTCACTGCACTCATTTGAATGCATGTGACAGTAAAGGCTATTCATTCATTCATTCATACATTTTCTCTCTCTCTCTCTCTCTCTCACTCTCACTCACTCACTCACTCACAAATACATTCATTCATTCATTCACCTACTTTATATCTACCAATCTACAGCATCAGAAAGTTACTGAATTCAGCAATATTTTTCAAGCAATTAGAGGATTTATGATTACACCCACATTGCCATGGAGTCAGTTCCATTTGCACAGGCTCATTTTCTTTTTCTGTAACTGAAGTACCTGTAGCTTGAGTCTAATTCCTTGTAATGAATAGTAATTCTTTCTAAGTACAGAAACCTGGTCCATGATTTCTGTCAACCTGGGTATCAAAGACAGGCAGATTGGAGAATTCTGTGGTTGTTTTGAAATTTGTTACTTTTGTTGTGTGTCTGGGATTAGCAGGACTTGATTTCCACCATACTGTCTCAGTGAGGCGTGACAACCACACTTTAGGAAGAATGTCCAGGTGTTTGAAGTGGTGCAAATGAGCTTAACAATGTAGCAAGGTTCAGCGGTATTTGTTATCTGTACAGATTGAAGAAGCTAGCTCTTTGCAGCAGTGAACATTTCAGAGAAACTGAAGAGTTATTCGGAATGATATTCAATTTTGATAAAGCAAGTCTGGAATAAAAGTATTTCTTCTGGTAAATGGGTTGCTTTGAATTTTTGGGTTGAGAAATTTCTTCACATGAGAGTGTAATCCTAGAGAAACAAGGAGAGAAAAACAGAAAATAAGAGCAGGAATAGATATTTAGCCCTTCAACAAGCTCCGCCATTCAACGTGATCATGGCTAATCATCCACTTAGCACACTGTTTCTGCTTTCTTCACATATCCTTAGATCCACTTAGCCCTGAGAACTATATCTTACTCCTTTCTGAAAACATTCAGTGTTTTGGCCTGAACTATTTTATGCGGCAGAGAACTCCACAGGCTCACTACTTCTGGGTGAAGAAATTTGTCCTCACCTTTGGGTCTGAGTCTGGAATGTATTGGAATATAGAAAAATGTTAGAACCAGAATTAGTAAGAATTTTTAATAAGAAATTATTCATATGTTTGAAGAGGATTAAATGCAGAGTTATTCAGATAAATCTGGCATGTGTGTTTAATTTGAACAACTCTTTGAAAAAGTTGGTACAACTATGGTAAACAAACAGCTTTCTATACTATAAGAATTTATATTTCTATGTAATATTTAATATCTTAAATATTAAATGTCTTTTCAAGGTCTTAGTGATATTCCAGCCCCTAAACGGATGGCTATGTATAGTGCACTTCAACGTATCAGAGAAAGTGAGGCCAACACCTTTTCATTGCTGAAAATGGATAGATTCCTTGCAGATGCAAACTGGGTAATGGCAGAAAAATTAGTACAAATTGAAGACCCTTACAAGAGTCAGCAGAGAAATGTGAGCAATACCTTAATCATATGTCTTGAATAACTTGAAAAATGTTCAGATTGCTGATACAGCTACTGCCTTGAATGATTGCACATTGTCATTGGAATCTCAAACATTACCAAATCTATACTCAGGGATAGCAAGAACTGCAGATGCTGCAGTCAGAGACAACACAGTGTGGAGCTGGAGGAACACAGTAGGAAAGTTGACGTTTTGGGTCGGGATCCTTCTTCAGAAATGGAGAGGGGGAAGGGAACAGGGAAATAAATAGAAAGAGGAGAGGTGGGGCTGGGGAAGGTAGATGGGATGGTGATAGGTGAGTGCAGGTAGGGAGTGGTGGGGATTGGTCACTGGGTTGGGTGGGGCGGATAGTTGGGAGAGAAGATGGACAGATTGTGTCAGGTCAAGGAAGTGGGGATGAGAGGGAGGGTTGGTAATGGGATGAGGCTGGGGGTGGGGAGATTTTAACACTGGTGAATTCCATGTTTAAGCCATCGGGCTGTAGGCTCCCAAGGCGGAATATGAGGTGCTGCTCCTCCAGTTTGTGGGTGGTGTCATTGTGACAGTGGACGCCCAGGATGGACATGTTACCGAGGGAGTGGGAGGGGGAGTTAAAATGTTTCGCGAACAGAAGGTGTTGTCATTCACCCAGGGAGTGTATACTACTGTATCCGCTGCTCTCGATGTGGCCTCCTTTACATCAGTGAGACCAAACGTAGACTCGGAGACCATTTCATACAGCATGTACACGACAAACAACACAATCTCACCTTCCCACCTATTCACTTTGTCTCTTCATTCCATAAGAGACCAAAGTACTGTCTGTCCCAATCTCAAATAGAGCCCTGTGGCTTAGAGAATTAAAGATTTCAACCCCTTGAGTGAAGAAATTTCTCCTCATCCAAGTTTTAAATGCTCACTCCATTGTTCTGAAACTAGGCACTTTGACCGATGCAAGTATTTTAGAAATATGGATACTGCAACTGGAATAACAAGGTGTAGAGCTGGATGAACGGAGCAGGAAAGCTGACATTTCGGGTCTGGACCCTTCTTCAGAAATGGGGGAGGGGAAGGGGATTCTGAAATAAATAGAGAGAGAGGGGGAGGTGGATGGAAGATGGAGAAAGGAGCAGATAGGTGGAGAGGAGACAGACGGGTCAAAGAGGTGGGGATGGAGCCAGTAAAGATGCTGCTTGGCCTGCTGTGTTCATCCAACTCTACACCTTGTTATCTCAGATTCTCCAGCATCGGCAGTTCCCACTATCTCTACTGCAACTGGATGTAGTTTTCACCAAAACTGTTGTATGAGCCTACCCAAGTTTCTCTGAACCTCAACATCTACATGTTTAAATTTACAAGTATTTTGAAAAGTATTTTGATTTTCTTCTGACTGAAGTGAGTAACCTTGCACTTCCCCACATTGTACTGTATCTGGCTCTTTGTTATTCTTGGGCAGCAGAGTGGCTCATTGGTTAGCACTGCTGCCTCATAGTGCTGGGGACCTGGGTTCAGCTCCACTGTCTATGTGGAGTTTGCACATTCTCCCTTTGTCTGTGTGGGTTTCCTCCCACAGTCCAAAAAAAATGCAGGTTAGGTGGATTGGCAATGCTAAATTGCCCATAGTGTGCAGGGATGTGTAGGCTAGGTGGATTAGCCATAGGAAATGCAGGGTTACAGGGATAGGGTAGGATGCATGGGTCTGGGTGGGATGCTCTTTGGATGGTCGATGTAGACGCAATGGGCTGAATGGCCTATGATCAACTAAGTTAACTTACCTGTCTCTCTTTGCAGCTCCTTTGTGCCGTCCTCACACTTTGCTTTGTATTGCCAGCAAACTTAGATACATTACTGTCTGTCTTCATCCAGCTCATTAATATAGATTCTAAATATCTTCTATCTTAGAACTGATTCTTGTAGCACTGCATTAATTATTGCAGGCCAATCTGAAAAAGACCCATTTATGCCCACTGTACCCCAGCTCCAAGAACCATCATCTTACCCATTAATCTTTTGTCTGGCGCATTACTGAATCCCATATAAGTAGCTAGGTATCTTATTAGAACTTCAAAGGGACATTGACAAATATGTGGAATGGACAGATAGGTAGCAGATCAAGTTCATTGGGGAGAAATGTGAGCAGATACATTTTGGTACAAAGAATATGGCGAGACAGTATAAGATACAGTGTGTGTGAGCAGAGATACCTTGGAGCATATGTGCGTAATTCATTAAAGGCGTCTCTAGAGGTAAAGAGGTAGTAAAGCATACAGTTTTCTAGACTTTATTAACTGGAGCATAACAAGAGCAGGGAGGATATGCTGACATTATGTAGGATACTAGTTAGACCTCAGCTGGAGTACTGTGTACCGTTCTTGGTTCAACACTACAGGCTGTTAGGAGCAGGAACAGTTTTGCCCCATCTATTCTTTCCAGTCCTATCATGGTTTTGAAAACATTTATCAGATTTTGTCTTAGCCTTTCCTCTCCAATGTAAACAGTCCTAATTTCTTCAATCCATCATTATGACTGAATTTATTCTCATAAACCTCTTTTGCATTTCTCCAGTGCATTGGTTTCTTTCTTAGTGTAGTTCTCAGAGTTAGCTGATTAATTTTGGGTAAATTAAGAAGGATCATATAAGGATGAAACAAAAATAGAAATTGCTAGAAAAGCTCAGCAGGTGTGGCAGCATCTGTGAAGAGAAATCAGAATTAGTGTTTTAGGTCTGGTGACCCTTCCTCAAAACTCGTGGAGTGGATTGGGTGAGGAGAGCAGAGAAATTGAGGCAACCGATGTCACGTCGACATTTCTTAATGAACAGATTGCATGCAGGTAAAAGGCCGGAGGGAGGGTTCAGGTGGAGGGAGAATGTTGGAGCTGGGCGAAGGGGTCTGTGGAATGGGGAGAGGACTTTTGCCCAAAAAAGTAGGCACGGAGGCGAAGACGACAGAAGAAGAGTTTGATGTCATGTCATGCCCGAAATTCATTAGGGTGGGGACGCAGGGGGATAAAGCTGAGACCTTTGTTGAGTACAGAGTGTTCAGCATCGGAGAGCAGAAGGTCAGCAGGGATAATGAATACACGACAGAAGGTGGGGTTGAGGGAGGGGATGCAGTCAGAGGGAAGAGGAGTGGAGGAATGTTCCAGAGGGCCATGTGTATCTCTGAGTTTTTGCGTCATGTGTGCCCTGATGCCTGAAAGGAAAATAAAAAGTTTCTTGTTAGCATGGCGAATGAGCTGGAGAATGAAGTGGAATTGTGGAGTGGTCCAACCCTGAGCCAGTGTAAAGCGATGCTGTTGAGAATGTGAAGAAAATAATGTGTGTCTATTATGATTGGACTGAACATACTAAAACTAATTGCTGTAAATTAAATAGGAGACTGATTATAATAGTGGGAGCCTCTAAGAAATCCTGAGAAAGTTTGTATGAAAAAGGAAATGGATACTTACAGTGTAGTACAAAGGCCACATATTTATTTAGAATCTACAATGAAGGAAGGGATGACTCAGGACAGTTGCACATTGTTTTCTTTGACTGTTGATAAAAGAATCAGACCACTGGAGGTTGTGAATATTTTACTTTAAAAGGAGAATTATTTCTTTTTTTGTCAAATCGAGGAGGCAAACCAGTAAAGGTATTGAGAGATATTGGAGAAAGTCGATAACTCGTACTGGCTGGTGATACCATTTGTTTTTGAGAGGAGTTAATGAAAGAGAAAATATTAATTGCAGGTATACTTGGAGGTGACTTAGTAAGTGGAGCAATTTTATTTAGAGCTATACAACAAATCTCTGTAGAACAAACTTGTTTTATCTTGGGGAAATAACTTGACTAGTTCAAAAATATTGGTCTCACTGAGAATGGTGGCACAATCAGTATAAATAAAGAAAGCTGAGATGATGTAGGAGGGACGTCCTGGATTATTTGCTGACTGGGTGTGACTAGATCTCAGGCTCGTAGAATTAGACAGGAAGGAGAGTCTGTGAATAAAGGAAGAAGACTTGGAAGTTGAATTGTCTGACGCTTCTTTTTTCTTTGAAAATTGAACTGCAGAGTAAAGAGAATGAGGGTGACCTGTTCAACCCATGTTCCTTAATAGAAATTCAAGAAACATATTGAGAAAGGTGTACCAAACCGCATAATCAGAAATTGAATCCCAACTAGTACCTGAATATTGTTATTTAAGAGACAAAGTATTAATGCGGAAATGGAGACCACAACAAATACCAGCTGATAGGAACTGGGCAGTAATCCATCAGGTGGTTATTCCATCTGAGTATTATTATTAAATTGTGTCTTAGAAAATTCTAATGTCAGGTCATTTCAATATTAGGAAGACAAAGACTATAATGCTAAAACATTTCTCTTGACCTAGAGCACATTTTTTTTCCAAGACATTCCATACATGAGAGTGGCTGATGAAACCCAACTGTCAATTAAATCTATGTCTTTAGTTCTGATACCAGCTTTTGAAACAATTTACGAGGATCTGAATACATTGTGTAGGACTCCTACCGAAAACTAGGAGTGGAATGATTATCTCTACTTCTCAGGTTCTTGCCATACAGCACCCTGAATTGGTCATATATAGTTGTTTCTCCATTATTGGGTCAAACAACTGAACAACCTTAACAGAATTTGTGGAAACACCTTCACTGTATGGATTGCACTGATTTGAGAAGGCAGTTATTGTTTTCTTAAGGGCGGTAAGGGGTGGGCAGTATACAAGGAGCTTGTCAGCAGTATCTGAATCCTGATGAGTATTTTTAATAAAATTCCAGTGGAAGATCTTGCCTGGAAGATACCAAGAGAAAGGCAAGGATTTCCACAGAAATAATTGAAAACAATCTCTGTCATTTATCTTAATGTGCAAGAATAAATAATCTGCATGAATGTGTTACAAAACCATATATACTGTACTTCTCAGGTTCATGTTGACGATCTTTTACAAAACACAAGAACAGCTCGTTGCCCAGACTGTGAGAAGAACATACCATGGGAACCTTCTCTTCGTGAGATAGATGACATGATGGAAGAAGCCAGGATACGTGTTTTAAAAGCACAAAAGGTTACATTTCTGAATTATATGTTACTTTGCCTAGATTCTTTCTGTGATTGCTTTTCTCCATTAGCAGTGAAACAAAGCCACTATTGTTACTTGAATAATTATCTTTTCAATCAGACTGTTGGCCTACAGATATTACAACAGCTTTTCTGTTCTGAATTGCTGTTGCATATAGACCAGTTACTGGCGGCAGTATAGTGCTGGAATGCTTAATCGCCAGGCAGCTCGGACATTGATTAGCATCACTGAGAACATGATTGATTCTGGAAGGTAAGAGCATCATGCTTAACAGTAACTACTGGTTAAATCTTAGTTTTACATTTTTTTTTAAGAGACAGACTTGGGCACATATATGCAGAATGAATAATAAAAACAGAAGCTACTATGTTCTTTTTCAATTTAGGTGTACTCCACATACCATGGTCAAGGTATAACAATGAGCTGGAAAGTTAAATTGACTAGTACACACACCAATGCTTTCAAAGGATAGCCTGGATTTTCTGATGATTTCTGCCACATTTATCAGGCAACATAGGGAATTAGCCAGAGTCTCATTATATTTGATGTATGTCTACTTTTGCCCCGAGCTTTTGCTCAGAAAAGTTATGTGCTGGGTGCACAGAATGAAAGCTGTGCTTAGCTTTTTAAGTGCCGGAGAAATCAGTTTCATCACAATGGTGAAACATGCTTATAATTAATTCAAATATCCTTATTGTCTCAAAGCTACAAGAAATCAAATAGGTAAATAGTTCTATGGTTGGCCAAATCGCCATAAAATCTATGTATCCATCATACCTGGTAGTTAATGTTAAGTAGACTTTGTAATGCAATGATAAACGTCACTGGACTAGAAGCTGTGGGTTTAAATCCTGTGTCAGATCTTGTTGGCCATGAAAGGTGTGTTTATAACCTGGCTAAACAGGTTGACTGTCAGCTTGTAAATTTTTCCAATAAGCCTATGTGAAAGGTGGTTGAGATTGGGGCAGTCTTCTGGTCAGCCATCCTGTAGAAGACAGTGGCAGACCACTGCAGTACTTGCCCATGACCGTGGATCAATCCAGTGGAAGTCCATAGCCCAACCCTTGGAAATAAGAATGGGAGAAAAGACAGGAACAGTTACTGTTTAGTTGAAAGATGAATTAAATGTAATGTATTATGGAGTATCATAAGGTAATGTAAGTTTAGCTCCTCGTGTCTGTTTTAAATTTTTTTTTCACTCCTCAAAAATATGCCCCCTAGTCTTGAAATTCCCAACCTGCCATGCACCTTATCTGTACCCTTCATGATTTTATAAACCTTGATAAGGTCATTCCTCAACCTCCTACATTCCGGTGGAAAATGGCCCAGTCTATCCAGCTTCTCCTTATAACTCAAGCCCTCCAGTCCTGGCAACAACCTGGTAAATCTTTTCTGAACCATCTCCACCTTGATAATGAACAAAAACAAAGTTGCTGGAAAAGCTCAGCAGGTCTGGCAGCATCTGTGAAGGAGAAAACAGAGTTAACGTTTCGGGTCCGGTGACCCTTCCTCAGAACTGATAATAGCCTTGATAATCCTTGATATCCTTGATAATATCCTTCCTATAACAGGGCGACTAGAACTGGATTCTGTACTCTAGAAGAGTGCTCCCCACCTCATGTCCTGTATTACCTCAACATAGTGTCCCAACTCATATACTCAAAGGTCAGAGCAATTAAGGCCCAAATGCGCTAAATGCCTTCTTAACCGCCCTATTTATATGGTGATTCAAATTTCAAAGAATTATGTACCTGAATCCCTAGGTCTGTCTGCTCTACAATACTACCCAAAGCCCTAGTTTTATTGAGTCCTACCCTTGTTTGCTTTACCAAGATGCAATACGGTGGCTCAATGGTTAGCAGTGCTGCTTCACAGTGCCAGGGCACCAGGTTCGATTCTACCCTTGGGTGACTGCCTGTGTGGAGTTTGCATGTTCTCCCCGTGTCTGTGAGGGTTTCTGCCGGGTGCTCTTGTTTCCTCCTACAGTCCAAGATTGTGCAGGTTAGGTGGATTGGCCATGTTAAATTGCCTATAGTGTCCGGTGATGTATTGGTTAGATATGTTAGCATGGGAAATGCAGGGATAGAGTAGATCTGGGTGGGATGTTCTTCGGAAGGCTGGTGTGAACTTATTGGGCCGAATGGCCTGTTTCCACACTGTAGGTGTACATTGCATTCATCCAATTAAACTCCATCTGCTACTCCTCAGACCATTGACTCAATTGATTAAGATCTCTTTGTAATCTTAGATAACCTTCTTTACTGTCCACTATACCATTATCATTGGTGTCATCTGCAAACTTACTAACCATGCCTTTTATATTCTCATTTAAATCATTAATATAAATGACAAACTGAAGTGGTCCCAGTACAATCCCTGTGGAACACCACAAGTCACAGGCCTCTAGTCTGAAAAATAACCCTCCACCATCACTTTGTCTCCTGCCATGAAGCCAATTTTGTATCCAAATGGCAAGCTCACCCTGAACCCGATGTGATCTAACTTTACTGTTTAGTCTACCACGCAGAACCCTGTCAAAGGATAGATGGTATAGATAGATGGTATTTTCTGGTCAGCTGCAGAGACAGATACATCAATGCCATGTTCAAAAGGGCCAATGATTTTATGAGGTTTACCACGAATCCTGAGATTAGCAGGCAGTTAGATTTTGATTTGGATCCATAGCTCGATTTCCAGAAGTACAAAGGGCAAATGTTTGAACATTCATCACCGATAACTCCTTGGGAACAGTCAGCAACATTGATAAACTGCCCAGCAAACAACTATTGCTGTCCATGCATAACTGTAACATTGGTTTCTTGGTAATGGGAGCTGTCTTCAAAAATCCTTATGACACCTGTACAGATTCCATAAAGTCCAACAGGGGAGAGGTACAATGTCTCCCGCACCTCAACCAGGCTAGCAGTCAAACAGACCATTGGATTGCTAAAGACCAGATTCCAATGCTTGCATTACTGAGGCAGAGAACTGCAGTTCCATGCCATAAAGGGTCTCTCAGATCATTGTGGACTGCTGGACTCTACCCAACCTAGCAGTGAAGAGGTGAAGAAATGTCATTTGGGGAGCTAGAGAAACTGGATTCATTTGAAGACAAGGTTAGAAAGGACAGACAAACCTGACACCCTCAATGAATCTTGATTTTAGGCGGAATCAAACCCAGTTTCCCAGGTCACTTAGTCTCTAGCTGCTAGACCTGTCTTCATACTATTATTGTTAAAGTTTATTATTCAAGTTTATTATTATTAAAGTTTAAAACACTAGTCTTATGACCAAAATTGTCCCCTTCAAACTGACCATGAAAATTCTACCATATTCATATTGCTGTTGCCTGGACGGTTGTTTACTATGAGATCATTCATTAATCTTGGCTCAGTACCAGGTCTAGAATAGCCTGCTCCCTGGTGGGCTGTACAAAATAACTGCTCTAAGAAATAGATGCACTCTGTGAACTGATTTTGTAGACTATCTTTGCCATTTTGGTTCATCCAAGACACTCATGATTTTTGCTGCATCTTGCTTACATGCTAAATGTATTTTTTTTTCCCTGTGTGCTCTGTCTTACTCTAACCACTGTTTGAAAGTGTCAGTAATCTACTTCCAGACATGACCTCTCTTATCTTTTCCTATTTATTATTTCTACCCAAACTAATTCTACATCTTGCTCTTCTACGTTTTGCTTTTGCAATCAGCGTTCACTACTGTACTTATTGTGTCCTTAATTAACAGTTACCCCATCACCTTTTCATCGCTTCAAGTATTTTCAGAATGTCAAATTCCCCCCAATGTGTAGGTTCCTACCCTGATTACCCCAAAACCATATCTCTGTAATGGTTATCAGGTCATATATATAGATATTTATCTGTGCTAATAATTCACCTGTTTTAAGAATGCTATGTACACATAGATATAGAGCCTTTTAACACTGTCTTTCTACCAAGATTGCAATCTCTGGTCTTATCTGCTGTTGCATTCTTATGTTTGTGCACACTGTTCCTTCCTGCCACATTCTGCTTTATCATTGCCCATATTACTGTGCTGTTCAGTTTCGTCATTTTTTGCCTTAGTGTAAAGTCCTCTCTATCCTCCCAGTTAGATGATTTGTATGAACATTGGTTGCAACATAATTCAGAAGAAACCTGTAATAATGGCAAAATTCCCATTTTTCCAGTACTGGTTCTAGTGCCCAATGAATCAAAACCCATTTTTCCCACACTAGTCTTTGAGGCATGCATTCATCTCCCTAATCTTATTTACTCTGTTCCAGTTTGAATGTGGCTGAGGTAGTATTCCAGAGGTTATTACCTTGAACCTTCTGCTTTTCATTGTCGTCTGTAGCTGCTCATAGTCGTTATGCAAAACCTCTTTTCTAATCCTATCTGTGTTGGTGTGCAAATTGAGCACAACTGGATCATCCTTCTCCATTATCGAGCAGATATCCTGAATGCTGATGCCAAGGAGGCAATATAGCCTTATTGACTGTCACACCTAGTAGCAGAGAACTGTGTTTATCCCCCGATGATGTTATTTTCTAGTACTACTGCATTTCTATTTGCTCCTCTTTTTGTACCATGGTTAGTTTGCTTATACATCTTGTAGTCCCTGCTTTTGTCCATGTGAGATGCGAGAACTTTTCAACCTGTTGGACGCTTTCAAATAATGAGGCTTTTCCTCAGCTACCATTTCTATCCCCATTCCTGCTTCACTCACAGTCAAACCCTTCTATTCCTAACCATAGATCAAATCAGAAGACTCCATCCTAAGAGTTATGGTTGCCACCTCGAATAAAATATCTAGGTAACTTCTCCCTTCTGGTAAATTGTAGTTTCTATTGCTCCAGTTCAATTATTCTGAGCTGATATCTCTTCTGTAGTAGCCATTTGCAGATATGTTTACCAGGATTACATTGGCATACAAGAGATCCCACTGTATGTCACTATCCCTGCCATCTGTATAACATTTAATTAATCTATTACTGATTACTTATTTTGCTGATTATTTTTAATTAATATGTCTAGTCTTGCTTATGTTTCTGTTCTTTCAATAAATGTTCCCTTCACCCAGTTGAAATTTTTCTAGTTAAGATATATAGGAAGTACTTACTAGCCAATCTAACATGCATTATTATAATTAGTAAAAGTGAAATACTGTGGATACTGGAATTCTGAAGTAAAAGTAACGTCCTGGAGAAGCTCAACACATTTGTTGACATCTGTGGATTGGTGTTAACGTTT